CTTTTCTGCTTGGAATCCTGATCTACTTCTCTCTGAAGTACCCTCTGAGGTTCTTTTGCATTTAATGTTAAGATGAATGAATGGATAGAGCACCATAACTTAAAATTCAACCATCCTTCACTATCCTCAGGGAATGGGTTCCAGGAACCCCACCCCCCGCCAATAACAAAATCTGCACTCACTCAAGTCCCTTTTAGAAAATGATAATTCCATAGAACCTATGTACAACCTGCCATACACATCCAAGCATCTCTACATGACATCATGCCTAACACCATGTAAATGCTATGTAGCTGGTGGTTTGACTGTACAGTACAGTACAAGAATGACAAGAAAATAGCATATGATTGATTTCCTTGGTATTTTCAAGCCACATTTGGTGGAATCAGTGTTAGAATCTCCAGGCAACAGCAGGTGAATTAAAGGTGAACCTGAGAATTTTACCTTGAAAATGAAAAATGGCAAGAGTGTGGAAGAGGAACATGGGAGGAGGTGGAGATGGAATGGTTAAGACCTGAGGCATTTGGAACTTGGGGATCAGAGAAGAGGAGCCAGTGGCCCAATCAGCTGGGGACAGAGAGAGGAGTAGAGAAGAAGAGGGATGCATTTACTTAATATTTCTTCTTAGCCTATCAAGATTTATTTGGGGGCTGGAAAGCTGTCTCAGTGGTAGAGTGCTTGCCTTGCATGCATGAGGCCCTGGGTTTGATTCCTCAGCACCACATTAGCAAAAAGAAAAAAGCCGGAAGTGGCGGTGTGGCTCAAGTGGTAGAGTGCTAGCCTTGAGCTGAAGAGCTGAGGGACAGTGCCCAGGCCCAGAGTTCAGGCCCCACAACCAGACCCCCCCCCAAAAAAAGATTTATTTGGCTTCCTTCTAAGTTGAAGGGCAGAGAGAATTATCAGAATTCTCAAGTCTAATCCCTATTAAGTCAGAACATGATTTCATCTCATGGCAAGATGGTAATAAAAAAAAAAAACCAACCCAGTATCTCCATGGAAATTTTAAAGGTTAACACCAATCAATGACTTGAATTACCTTGCCAAGGGGATAGCTGTAGGGGTCTATGTGTGAGGAACTGGAGAAAGCTCCAGCAATGACAACTGGCTCCCAGCAGCCCAGCATTCATCACGAAGCGATGTGCTGTTCCTTCAATGTTGTCTTCTCCATTCGTTACGAAGCAAGATTTCCCAGGCACTGGATTGTCCCCGTGTGAATTGGGGAGACAGTGTCAGGAAAGAGTACGGATGAGCTTGAATCACCTCTTGATGGCAGGAAAGCTGAGACAATTTCGCTGTCTGTTTTATTGATGTGTGACTATCTCAATGGCCGAGAGGCGAAAATGGTAGACACAGTTGAATGATGATCTTCCATTGACCCTCCTAATGCATTCCTACTTTCCTCGTCCTGTTTTGAGACCACATAAGCTGACCCCCACTGACAGCATCAGTAAAGACTGACTAGCCCTGAAGGATTGGTAGGGATGGGATGGTGTACAAAAGGGGGAAATGACCTGGAGTGACAGACAGCGGGCCTGAGAAGAGGGGAGAGGCCACCTGCGGTCTCATGGGAACTATGCTAATCTCTTCTTCAGACCATGCCCTCCATGGCTGAGCCACCTCCCACTAGGCCTCCTCAGAGATCCTACCACCTCCCAACACTCATGGAATACATCCTTGATAAAGGGAGGACGCATATGAAATCCACAGCAAGCTGGGCACCAGTGGCTCCTGCCTGTAACTCTAGCTATTCAGGCGGGTGAGACATGGAGGACCATGGTATGAAGCCAGCCCCAAACAGAACAATAGACAAGTCCCCATCTCCAGAATAACCAGCAAAACACTCAGGCTGGAGACATGGCTCAAGCGGTAGAGTGCCAGCTAAGCAAGCAATCCAAACAAGCACAAGGACTTGTGTTCAAATGCTGGTACCAGCAAACAAACAAAAACCTTAGCAGATAAGTAACCTTGAAGTAAGTGATGAGAAGTGCGGGGAAATAGTTGAGATGCAGAAGTGGAGTCCTGAAGATCCAGTTTGAGGTGGACTATGGAAGAAATAGAGGGAAGCTGATGGAAGCCAAAGAAATCAAACATTTGGATATTGGGGAAGGCTGAATCATGGGTACCAGGAAAAGGAGAGGAAGCCAGGGGCTGGTGGCTCATGCCTGTAATCCTAGCTACTCAGGAGGCTGAGATCTGAGGATCGAGGTTCAAAGCCAGCCTAGGCAGGAAAGTCCGTTAGACTCTTCTCTCCAATGAACCACCAGAAACTGGAAGTGGTGCTGTGGCTTAAGTGGTAGAGCATTCACCTTGAGCTGAAGAGCTCAGGGACACCACCCAGGCCCAGAGTTCAAACCCCATGATGACCAAAAAAAAAAAAAAAAAGTGTAGAGGAAGAGATTGGTTTTGAAGGATGAGAAGAGATGACTGAGGAGCTAAAGTACGATGAGGTGGAGAATGTAGTGTGATTGGAAAGGAGAAGAATGAAGGAAACGCAGAAATGAGCTACCTAGAGGCAAGGGGGAAAGAGGACAATGCCTTCCATGAAGGAGCTAAGCAAGTCCAGGTTTCCAGGAGACCAAGTAAGGAGGAAACACATCTGGAATAGCTGGAGCTTCCTTCCCTGTCAGGCTTCGGCCCAGAGGAGAATCTCCTCTAGAACCCCAGGTCAAGCTCACAGATGAATCTGCGGATTTCAATAAAAATGGGGTTGTATGTCAACTTTGTTGCCAAGGCATTCCAAGATGGACGGGCTCATAAATCCAGATAGCATATGCTCATCATTTCCTCCCAAGCTTTCAGGAAGGAAGCAGCAGATTGTAGTTTTTCTTTTTCTTTCTTTCTTTCATTCATTCTTTTTTTTTGTTGTTGTTGGTTGTGGGGCTTGAACTCTGGGCCTGGGCTCTGTCTCTGAGCTCTTTAGCTCAAGGCGAGCACTCTACCACCTGAGCCACAGTGCCACTTCCGGTTTTCTGGTGGCTTATTGGAGATAAAGTGTCTTGTGGACTTTCCTGCCCGGGCTGGCTTTGAACCACAATCCTTAGATCTCAGCCTCCTGAATAGCTAGGATTATAGGCATGAGCCACCAGCACCTGGCAGGTTGTTGTTTCATTACGTATAGATTCTCACCGGCAGGCAGGGCAGACCTACCCTGAGGGTACCACTTTCAGAAATGGAACTGGAAAGATTTCCTGTTCTTACTGCCCTGAGCATCTTAAACCCTTTTGAAGTTAGATTATGACACAATAGTCACATCAGAGACCCTGTTAAACATCTTCATCTCAAGGCATTTCACAAAGACCCTCAAAACCTGGTATAGCCATGGCACTGATGCATTGGAGCAGAAGTGACCATGGCGGAAGCCTGGGTACCCTCAGGCTCTTTGCTCTTGTCATCTCTGCATCACATGGGCTGATCCACAAAAGAACCAATTCTAATAAACACAGATGGAGCTTCCAGAGCCCCACGGGGAGAGCAGAGCCGAGCAGACTACAGAGGAACTCACGGGAGTAGCATGCAACACAGCCCTTGCAGAATGGAAACATAATCAAAAGCTACAAGCTGCTGGTGTTGGTGGCTCCTGCCTGTCATCCTTACTTCTCAGGAGGCTGAGGTTTGAGGGTCACAGATCAGAACCAGATTGGGAAGAAAAGTTCTTGAGACTCTTATCTCTAATTAACTCCCCCACCACCACACACACACACACAAAAGAGCCACAACAAAGAAACAAAGTTAGAAGTAGTGCTGTGGTTTAAGTGGCAGAATACCAGCATGATCAAAAATGCTAGAAGACAGTGCCTGTGCCTTGAATGTAAGCCCCAAGACCAGCACACACACACACACACACACACACACACACACATACACACATACATACACACGCACACACACACACACACACACACACCACTTTATTTTGTGTGTGTGCTGGTTCTGGGACTTGAACTCAAAGCCTGGATACTGTCCATGAACTTTGTTGTTCAAAACTAGTGCTCTACCATTTAAGCCACAGTTATACTTCTGGCTTCTTTGTGGTTAATTGGAGATAAGAGTCTCCAAACTTTCCTGCCAGAGCTGGCTTTGAACTGTGATCCTCAGATCCCAGCCTCCTGAGTAGCTAGGATTATAGATGTGAGCCACTGGTGCCTGACTAAATTTCTGGACATTTTAATTGTAACTTTAAAATGCCAAAGAAAAATATAAATGGACAAACTGCAATTTAACATAACGTAACCTACAGGAGATCCAAGAAACAAATACATTTGAAAATCTCTTGTTAAGGAACTTTATTTTAAAAAAATACACAAAATATTTCCTTTTAAAGGGCACATCTTTTTCCATAAAAAGGGTCTATATTCAGACAGCATAATGTTTTAATGATTTTTATTTAACACAATAAATGAGGACATAAAGAAAAACTGTCCATAACCTCAGGAACTCTGACAATTATGCAACACAAACTATTTGGCTTGAACTCCTATCATCCTACATAGAAAAACAAGGAAGTGTTTGTAAAATATGCATAGTTTCCTGGAGGGGATGGGTATATTATTCGGAATCCTGTAGTTAGTTCTTTAGGGAGAAAGATTGAATGAGAAGGCTGTGATTTCAGCTGCACCTGAATAAGACTGTGAAAGAAAGAAAGAAAAAAAAAAGCTGGCACCAGTGGCTCAGGCCTGTAATCTTAGCGACTCAGCAGGCTGAGATCTCAGGGGCTTGGTTCAAAGCCAGCCCCAGAAAGGAAGGAAAGTACATGACACTCTTATCTCCAATAAACTATCCATAAAAGCCAGCACTGGAGCTATGGCTCAGGTGCTAGCCTTGAGCAAAAAAAGCCCAGGGACAGTGCCACAGGTCTCAGTTTAAGCCCCAGGACTGGTATCAATGGCTAAAGTCACCCTAGGTTAAGCACCTTTGCTTTTCCAGTGTGCTTTTAGATAGAATTTTGATTGAGGTTAATGATAGATCAAGTTTGTCCTTTGTCTCCAAATGATGGGTAGCTACTAATTCCATCCCAACACAACGTGAGCAACAAGAAGATAACACATTCCGATGATGCAGGACACAACCATCATTGGAAAACCCAACCTGAAAGACAAAGAGAGGTGAGTTATGACACCTTTATCTGGTGAAGAAGAATATGGGCTTTAGGATCTTTATGGCTTCACGAATGTCAATGAGAAATCAAAAGGTTAGTTTCAGTTTCCATAATATAGATACATGCTTCTATTAGAAATCTCCCATTGTGTGTGATTTTGAAAGCCACCTAATTTTTTTTCAGACCTTCACTAGATGATTGAAATCTTACGTTTCTTCATCTACACTGCCAATTTGTATACTGAGACACTATTAACATCTTTGGCTCATTCCTCCAGCTAGGTCAAGTTCCAGTTCGTAGTCAATGGAGATCTCATAGACAGGCCATTGATTCCCAACACCCCTCTCACTTAACCTTAGGGAGAAGTTGTGAGGTGGAACTGGAAGCTAAGGTCTAGGAAAGTAACAGAGAAGAATAGGATTTTCTTCTGGATTAGGTAAGGTTTGTGAAGCTCGTATAGGCTGTGTGCCAATATGAACACAGTCATAAGATGAATGGTAAGCCAAGCTCAGAGACAAACTGGGCATGTTTTCTCTCATATGTGAAGCTAGATCTAAAATACACCGGGACATGATAAATGATACAGGACTCTGGGCATTCACACACAGTGAGACCAAAGGAGGATTCTCTTCGGGGAGGAGCACAAAAGTGCAATGTCTCTGTGCCTCTGATGACATAAGATGATATTTATCGACATGAACTCCAGGAAATTGAAACAAGAATTTCTTTTTTCTTTTTGTCTCATTTGTTTATCTGTCTTTGGTATGGACAGGGAGGGAAGAAGCAAGAGGACTTTCAGTCCTGTTCTTGTCAGCAGCTTAATGGAGAGAAACTATTAATAATCTTAATGGCTCCATTTCTTTATTTGTAAACTGGGGAAATAATAATATCCATGTACTGAGACTGTTATGCCTTCACCCCTGCAAATCCTTTAGAACAGGATCTGGGCATGCAATGAGCCATCAGCAAATGCTCACAAGCCAGCCATCTGACAATTTGTGCTGGCCAGTGTTACAGAGTACTTAACACCACAGTGTGAGCATGGAGAGACCTTCCTGCAAACACGCTATAATGGTGAAGACTTTATACAAATACACCAAGAATAGAATAGATTCAGGCACCAGTGGCTCATACCAATAATCCTGGCTACTCAGAAGACTGAGATTTTAAGGATTAAGGTTCAAAGACAGCTCAGGCAGACAAACCCATGAGGCTCTCATCTCTAATTAACCTTCCAAACTCTGTTAGTGGCCAAGTGCTGGTTGCTCTTGTTTGTAGGCTTAGCTAGTCTGGAGGTGCCCACATGTAGACTGCCTGCTTTCAGGTTGCCCTCAGCATGATCAGTCTTACTCTTCGGTATTGTCCTTAGATTCCTCCTAGCAGGGGCTTCTCTGCCTGCACCCTGGTTAAAGGATGTCAGATTCATGTTATACAACAATCTGAATGTCAGGCATAGGAGGAAACCTATTAAAGTTTTCAAGAAGACAGCAACATATAATACCCAGCAAGGCCAAAGCCATTGCAGGTCTCCAACTTACCCTGAATTACCCAGGATATCCAAGTCATCCTCTGAGTGATGGAGAAAATCCCAGCGACAGATGTCTAATGTGTTTTGTTTCTCTACTACCCACACCAACCTGCAAATCCTAGATTTTAGCATCAGTACTGTGTGTGTGTGTGTGTGTGTGTGTGTGTGTGCATCCTATGGCTTGAACTCAGTGCCTGGGCACTGTCTCTGAGCTTTTTTAAAATTATTATTGGAGGCTAGCACTCTACTACTTGAGCCACAGCTCTACCGCCTGCATTTTTTGTGGTTAATTGGAGATACGAGTCTTCTGGATTTGTCTGCCTGGGCTGGCTTTGAACTGCAAGCCTCAGATCTCAAACTCCCAAGCAGCTAGGATTACAGGTGTGAGCCATGATGCCCAGTGGCATGGGTAATTTTTTAATGAAGTAACCTTAAGAATTTGTTAGAAGGATATTTTTTTAATGCAGAGTGAGTTTTGAAAGTACCTGAAAAATTCCATGAAAGAGAATCCATACCCGTGCTGCTCTGCAATCCCTGCACAAACAACGTTTGCAGATGCTCCAATCAGCGTCCCGTTACCTGGAATCAGTTATAAAAATACAGTGAAGTCCGAGGTTAGCTCAATTGGTAGGCTTGTGCTCTCTTCTATTCTGCAATGCTTGGATAACCTCCTAGGTTGTAATCAGATGATCACAGGCCCGACCAATGCGATTGCTTTGTTAAAAATCTAGACACCACTGGGCACTGGAGGCTCATACCTGCAATCCTAGCTAATCAGGAGACTGAGATCTAAGGATTGTGGTTTTAAGCCAGCCTGGGCAGAAAAGTCCACGAGACTCATTTTTTTTTTAAACAGCTCTGGCAAGTTCTATTAAAGAAAACTTGTGCACTCTTTACTTTTCTCCAGTTTTTTCTGGCATGCTTCTAATGATATCAGAATCACCTGATCAATGATAGCCAGTGTGCATACTCTGTAGTATTTTCCATATGCTGTACCCAGTTCAATTTTATTGCCACTGTAGTGATGGACACCAGTTTTTGCCAACATGGCCTAGTATTTTATTTCAGATTTCTTCAAGGCTGGGCAATTGTTGGCAAGGATGACCAATTCCCCTTTGCCCTGTCCGATCATCTTCAGAGTATACTTGTACCCCAGCACATACTTTCCACGTTTCATAACAAGTTGGAGTCTAGAGTTGATTGACTCCAGGGACTTTTTCCATCTTCTTGGCGGCCACCATCTTCCTGCCTTAGGTGTGGGAGGGCTCCCAACCAAAAGCATCTAACAAGATGGCGGGGTGGAGAGAAAGGAAGCTCCATGAGACTCTTATCTCCAAATAACCACCAGAAAACTGGATGTGGCGTGTGGCTCAAAGTGGTAGAGCAGTACACTTGAGAGAAAGGAGCTCAGAGACAGCACCCAGGCCCTGAGTTCAAGCCCCAGGACTGACGAAAAAAAAATCTAGACACCTATCTCCACTAGCAACCTCAGAATAAAGCCTCTGCTAGCTACACCCAATAAACCTATTAAAAGTTGTATTAAGTCAGATAGGCACTGAATCTACGTAACTTCCAAACAGCTTAGCTTAGCAACACAGAACACTATTAAGTGAACCATTGTTGCCCTTCTAATTGCATGGCTAACTGGAAAGAAGACTGGGGAGAGAGAAGAGTGAGGTTGTGGTCACATGTTACCAGCACAGAGGAAAAGCAAAACACAACGTGAAGTGTGGTTTCCACCGAATGCATTGCTTTCGCTCCAATGTGAAGTCATTAAAATCGTTAAGCCAAACCACTGGAAAATCAGAGACTACTTGTAACTTGTATAATACTAGCAGGGTTTTGGTAGCACCCAGAGTGGCATGGATTTCATGTGGTGGGGAGAAAGAGGTCTCAGTGGTGTTACCCCAGCTTAAGCCTCCTCCTCTGTTTCTATTTCCATAATAGGGGGTACATATAAGTAGGTGCTGTCTGTCTGTCACGGACCATCTGGGTTTTCCTATACAATAATATGATCCATGGATCTACAGACTGAATGAGAACAGTGTCAAAGATCATCCCCTAACCTATCTTTGGTGAACACTGCCTACAAAGAATCCCTAGTCAATACAAATTGAATGACTTCTCATAGGGTGTTCTTTGCCTGCTTTTCTTTTCCATAACTAGTAGAGCAGCTCAGCAGGAAGAAAACAGGAGAAGGGCCAGTGTAGGCAGAGCCAAGAGCAGCGAAAGGAGCCCAGAACAGTGAAGGCGAGGCTGACCAGCACACGGAAACATCACCAGCTGACCAGGACCTCCCTCCGTGGTGGGCATCCATCAGTCAAGACGCAAGGCAGTGGGGTGGTAGTGAGGGAGCTGGAGAGAATGCCTTAACTTGCTTTTGAGTTTTCCTTTTATACAGTTAACTGCTGCTTTGAGCTGGACCGTGGCATGGGATGCAGTGGACTTCTACTTACCTCCCAGGCAGGCGCCAAGGGCCAGAGCGTACATGAGTGGTGGCGTGGGCAGGCTGACCTCAGGGTCTTCACTCAGGTTCAGAAGCACAGGAATCTGTGGATGAAAGGGACACTGACACTGTGACCCACTGAGCTGCACACAGTGCACTCAGCTCACAAAACACAAAGTGCGTTTTCAGTGGCCAGACTGGAAGGAACACAAGATATGCAGAAGGAAGGCTTGAGTCTGGCTGGGTGCCGATGGCACATGCATGTAATCCTAGCTACTCAGGAGGCTGAGATCTGAGGATTGCAGTTCCGAGCAGAAGAATCTGAGAGATGCTTATCTCCAATAAATTACCAAAGAAGCCTGAAGTAGAATGTTAGCCTTGATCCAAAAAGCTAGGGACAGTGCCCAGGCCCTGAATTCAAGCTCCAGGATGGCACGAAGGAAGGAAGGAAGGAAGGAAGGAAAAATAACTTGAGTCTGGTTGGATTTATCTGTGTGTGCGCACACACACACACACACACACACACACACACACATAATTCTAGCCACATGAACAACTGATTCTCCTTTGGAAATCTTAAATGAGAAGAGTCACAGAGAATCTGACCCACACCTGGGATAAAATGATCCAATCAGCGTTTACGAACTCCCTCCCCACACCCCCTCCCCTGTCCCATCTAGCTTTGTGTACAGGACATCTCAGTTAATTCTAATGGAGGAAGTAGCTAATGCATACTACTCACAATCTGTCAGCTCTAATGCTTCCTTAGTTCCCATAATGGCATGCTTCAGATTCAATATCAAATCTGCCCTCTGTAGAAATTGAGCTATAAATTCCTACAGCCATGCCTGCCATTTAACGTAATTGCAGTCCAATGGGCCTGGCTCAGCTCTCTACTGAATGTTTATAAAAGAATAAACTGGAGAAGTAAAAAGTAAAAGCTGTGGAGAAGTGCTTTTGACTTTTACCACCTCTGAAAGGGTATTGGGTTCTTCTCCCCTATCAGGCATTGCAGCCAACAACTGTACCCTCCCTAGTAACTCCTCGAGGGGCTTAGAAGGAAACCTAGGGAAAGAAGTTAAATAAAAACAAGACAGCCTTGAAAAATGACTGTCACAGAGAAAGTACATTGAAAGTACCCATCCCAGTAGACCACGTGGACACAGTCATGAATAGCAAAGGAGTTTATCTCCAATAACCTACTAAGAGAAAGCCAGAAGTGGTGTGATAGCTCAAGTGGTAGAGTGCTAGCCTTGAGCACAAACAGGCTCAGGGACAGCACCCAGACCCTGAGTTCAAACCTTAGGATCATGAAAAAAAAAAAAAGGCCGGGGGATTGTACTCCTGTTGGTTGGGACTCAGGCTTTGGAGTAGGACCTCCCCTGAGCCCACCAGCCTAATATCCCTGAGTTCTCCAACTCTCCAAGTGCCCCCTTGCTTCTTCCCAGAGTATTTTCCACAACACCTATATAGGAAAGGAGGTCAAGAGGAAGAGCCATCACTAGTCACAAAGACAGTAGGAGTAAAGGCGCAGGAGACCCCAGCACCATGCTAGAGATGGCAGGTGAGGGCGTGTTTCAGATGGCAGGAGGCCTGGCAGGAATGACAGGCAGGAATGGTGCCAATGACTCCGAGGGAATGTCCAACTGCCTCAGCCACAGACTGGCTGCGAGGGTGAGGGATTCCTTTAGGAAAAGTAAATTGGTGCAGTCAATTCACTTATTATTTCTTTGGTGGGGGAGGGGTGCTGGTCCTGTGGCATTAACACTGGTATTCAGCCACCTGTGCCTGGTTTAGAAGATACTTTTATCTCCATGATCCTGAGGAATGAGTCTCATCAGTTCTAGAAAAAGCTTATGATATGTACTTCTGGCATTGACTAGAGGTCAACATATATACAGAGATTTTAAAACCTGGAGGCTTATGCCTATAATCCCAGCTACTCAGGAGGCTGAGATCTGAGGGTTAAGTTCAAAGCCAGCCCAGGCAGAAAAATCCATGAGACGCTTATCTCCAATGAACTACTCAGAAGAAGCCAGAAGTAGCACCGTTGCTCAGGTGCTAGAGCACTAGCCTTGAGCACAAAGAGGCTCAGGGACAGTGCCCAGGCCTGAGTTCAAGTCCCAGGATGAGCAAAAAAACAAAAACAAAGAAAATAACACCTGTCCAGGTTGACTGGGGTGTTTCTTCATTAGCAGGGAATAAAGATGAAAGTGTTTGTCTTTTGCTGCATTTTTTTTTCTTAAAAGATACTGTGTTGAGCTGGGAAGGTGGCTCGGTGGTAGAGTGCTTGCCTAGCATGCATGAAGCCCTGGGTTCGATTGCTCAGTACCACATAAACAGAAAAAGCCAGAATTGGTACTGTGGCTCAAGTGGTAGAGTGCTAGCTCAAGGACAGCGCCCAGGCCCTGAATTCAAGCCCCGGGACAAGCAAAAAAAGATACTGTGTTTACTGGGAGAGACAACAGCTCTATCACTTTTACCCCAAAACAGACAATCAGCCAGGGCGTGCAGCCTACTCTGGCAGCAGACCCTGGGCTCCTGGCCACCATTGGGGCACTCAGTACTCCCTGCCCAGCTGCCTTGGGCTCTGCCCATGCTTTGTTCCCTCAGCCTCTGAGGGTGGTAAAGGAGCAGGCTTCACGCTCTGCTTCCTTAGGAAAGAAAAGCGAGCCAGGATGGTGTGCATATTGAGGCTGGGCCCACAAACATCCAGGAGCATGTCACTCACCATGGTTGCAGTGAATGGGATGTTGTCAATCAAGGAAGATGCCAAGGCTGAGACCCACACAACCAGGACAATGGCGGCTGTGAGGCGCTCCTCCTCAGGGACCATCTGAAAAGAGCAGATAGAGTGCTTTGCACTGTGAAATCACAAACAGGGTCCAACCTTACATTGGCGAGACTTGGCAGGAACCTAAAGGTGTTAGTCCTTGCTGCTCTCACATGTGACACAACCAAAACAGACATAAATGGGCAAATCTGGGCCACATCTATACCAGGAATCTCAGCTGGGCTTCTGAAATAACAGAGGGGAACTCCCCCTCCTCACCCACATCGGGTGGCTACACACACACACACACACACACACTGGCCCCACCAACCTGAGCATTCTCTTCACTGTCCAGACAACCTTCTTAGGTCTCATCTAGGGGCTACAATTGAAAAAGCAGGCATCTGAAATGATGCATTCTTTGGAAAAAAGTTTCTCATCATCTCTAAGCTACCCAGGATAAAGCAACCATCCTGCTGTGCTTTTTACATAATTAACGTGACTTATTCTCGCCAGATTATTTATTTTTCATTTAAAATCAAAACAGGTTGGCTGGATCACTTCCCTGAGAGCATTGCATATACCTTTATTAGCAAAGCAGTCTGTTCTCCAATGTATTCTATCAAGTGGAGATGTGCTAGCGCCTAGAAGAAAGACAGCATGGTGAGAATCAGTTTAAAAATGAGATTATATACAGATTGTTTTAAACATCCATCCAATGGCCTAGTGCTGGTGGCTCACCTCTGTAATCCTCGCTTCTCTGGAGGCTGAGATCTGAGGATCACAGTTTGAAAGCAAAATAACAGATCTCTATGCAACTACCATTCATAGGAAAGAAGTTCTACCCAAGGAACCTTGGATGGAGGCTGCTGAGACGTTGACGGCCCTCCCCTCATTCACTTGTACAGTGGGGCTTCCATGCCAGCAAAGGCAAGCCAAGACCACCAGACATGACTGTCCTTCCCCTGGTCAGAAAGCAGAGGTGTCACACTGGGAGAAGCAAGCCACAGCTTCTGGCACTGTAGCGGTAATCCAGAGATATTTGTCCAGGAAGAAAGGCACTACTCTTTGGTTTTGGATAGCTATCCAAAATGTGCCAAGAAATACTGACTCCAACAGTTAAATTTTAACATTTGCCAAAGACCTAAACATACTTTCCCAAAGAAGATATACACATAGCAAGGGAAATTTCTATAATTTCCATGCAACTTTGCAATTTCTACAATTTCTCTAAGGGAGAAAAAGTTGTATGTTTTATTTTAAAGATCAATCACCTAAGTATTTGTTTGTTTGTTTGTTTTGTCGGTCATGGGGCTTGAACTCTGGGCCTGGGCGCTGTCCCTCAGCTCTTCAGCTCAAGGCGAGCGCTCTACCACTTGAGCTACAGCGCCACTTCCAGTTTTCTGGTGGTTTATTGGAGATAGGAGTCTCACGGTCTCTCCTGCCCGGGCTGGCTTTGAACTGCGATCCTCAGATCTCAGCCTCCTGAGTAGCTAGGATTACAGGCGTGAGCCCCCAGCGCCTGGCTTCATCTAAGTATTTATGGAGATAATTTTTTAAAGCTATCTATGGAGCCTGGCACTGGTGGCTCATGCCTGTAATCCTAGCTATTCAGGATCTAAGGATCATGGTTCAAAGCTAACCTGGGCAGGAAAGTTTCATGAGACTCTTATCTTCCAGAAAACCGTAAGTGGCACAGTGGCTCAAGAGGTAGAACTCTTGCCTTGAGCTGAAGAGTTGATGGACCGCACCCAGGCCCAGAGTTCAAGCCCCACGACCAAAAAACAAAAAACAAACAACAAAAAAAAAACAACCCCCCAAAACAAACAGAAAAAAAAAAAACTATCTATGGTACCAACAGAGGCAAACACTTCAGGAGATCAGAGAAAAAAAGAGCAAAAAATAATTTTAATTTAAAAAGTCACACCTAAATACTATATACTCAGTATCTGCATCAAATAATACTTGAATGAATATACCAACTGAAAGATAGATAAGGGCTAGATAGATTTTTTAAATATATGATTCTATTATAGTTGCAACCCCCCCAAAACAAAAAAAATGACACAAAAAATGGGATGGAAAAAGATAGACCATGCAAATAGTAACCAAAAAATAAAAGTAAAAAATCTACCTGAGTAGCTCTGTTAATGTCAAATGCAATTGACTTTGAGACAAAAAATTGTTTCTCAAGACCAAAATAATGTTTCATAATGGACTGACACATATGTAATCAGCACCAGCCCTCAGGCAAAACGAATCAACATTAAAATATACTAAAAAACAATTCCAGCCTTTGAGGAAATTTTCAATGTCTGACAAAGAAAAGGGAGGAAGGAGAGTGAGAACAAATAAAATCATGCTTAAAGAATTACAAAATGGAAGCCAGACGTGTTGGGCCCAACAAGAAGGCCATCTGTAATCTTAAGGCAGGAGGAATATTTACAATGTGAAAAATATTTAAATGGCAGAGGTGAAAACTGGTTGACTTAAAAACAATCCATTTACCTGTCTATCATTTTCAACTTAGTGAATATACAGAAAGATTTATAGACTTGGGCTTTCTTCGTTTACCAAATGAGATAGAAAATGTAAAAAAAAACACAAAAAAACAGGTAAGAGATCACATTGCAAAGCTTCTAAGGTCTTACCTCCATTAGAACAAAGAGGGCTGCAAAGAACAGAAGTGTTGCCCATTCAACTCTGTGTAGAACAATCTCAAAATCATGGATATCAGCTAAAATCAGCAACCAGATGGCACCCAGAATAGCAATCCAGCCTGAAAAGAAGAAAGAACATATGACTATAGTTCAACTAGCAATGTTATCAGCTAGTTTTTAATCTTCTGATTACCTCTTGCGGTATAAGATTGAGATTCCCATTTGTTTGCCTATTATTACCCCAGAGCCAATCTTAGCTTACAATCACCACCTTCCTCCAACCTCATGAACCCTCCCCCCAGCTTCAAAGCAGTAGTGAGTGAAGTCCCTCCCATCTTCAGATCTCTCCTGTCCTTCTTAGCCAAGCTTAGAACAAAGCTAAGAAAGAGCCATGTTTCTGGGGGCTCACACATGTAATCCTAGCCACTCAGGAGGCTGAGATCTGAGGATGACAGTTCAAAGTCAGTCTGAGCAGGAAAGCCTATGAGACTCTCATCTCCAACTAACCAGGGGAAAAAAATGCTGGAAGTGGATCTGTGGCTCAAGTACTAGAGCGCTCAGAAACAGTGTGCAGGTACCAAGTTCAAGCCCCAGGACTGGCACCAAAAAATAATGTTTAAAGCTAAGAAAAAAATTAGACCTACCAAGATCAAGATGAATGCCAGGGACAAAGGAGTTGAGAAAGAACATGAGGATAACAAATCCCAGAACCATCAGGCATTTAATCAGCAGAATTCTGTCTGATATTCTATGCTGCAAGAGAAAGAAAAATACGAATCATGCACCTGGAGCAATCCCTTCGTTCTGAAATGTGTCTACATTCCTACATGACTTGAATTACTACAAATTTCTCTGTATGATGAAAAGGATAACATCTTAAACTTGTTACAGGGAGCTATGTATAAATTTCAGATTATACCATTCAAAGTCTTTGTGAAAAATAAGCACTGCAGCTGGGTACTGGTGGCTCATGCCTGTAATCCTACTACCCAGAAGGCTCAGATCTGAGGATCTTGGTTGGAAGCAAGTTCGAGCAGGAAAGTCTTGTGAGACTCTTCTCTCCAATGAACCACCAGAAAACTATGGCTCAAAGTGGTAAAGCACTAGCCTTGAGCAAAAGTGTTCAGGGACGGTGCCCAGACACTGAGTTCAAGCTCCACAACCAGCAATAACAACAAAGAAAGCACAACATACATAAAATGCAGTATAATCCTTTTCACAAAATGCCTCAAAGGGATTTACAAGGGCTTTTGAGACTTGTAGTGCTCTAATTTCCTGATAAAAGGAACCAGCCGTTTCTGGAGAATGTTGTGGTTTATTAACACATAGCAGTAAATTAGGTTTTAGGTACAATAACAGAATAAAAAGAACAAGCCAGGTGTAAGTGGCTCATGCCTGTGATTCTAGCTACTCAGGAGGCTGAAATCTGAGGATCACAGTTCAAAGCCAGCCCAGGCAGAAAAGTCTGTGAGACTCTTATCTCCAAGAGACTACCAGAAAATCAGAAGTGGCACTGTGGCTCAAGTAGTAGAGTACTCGCCTTGAGCTGAAAAGCTGAGGGACAGTGCCCAGGCCCAGAGTTCAAGCCCTACAACTGACAAAGAATAAAGAAAAAAGAGAGAACAATGGGCTTTCCACCATAAGTTCCTTTGAGGGAATAAAACAAAGAGAGGATTTTGAAGGTTTTGCTCACAAGAAAATGAATGAGGTGATGATCAGTTGATGTAATGATGTAATGATCTTTACCCAATGTGTGTATGTATTTAAAAATGATACTGTACCTAATAACTTTGTACAAAATCTGATATGCCCATTTAAAATTTAAAAAAAGAAAAGAAATGAATAATCCTATCTACCTGAGAGACAAAGACTTAAGAAGAGGATCACAGTCTGAGGCCAGCCAGAGACAAAGTTCATGAGACCCCATCTCAACCAAGAAATGCTGGGCATGGTGGCATGCACTGGGCATCCTATCTACATGGCAAATGTAAAATCACTGTCCAGAACAACCTAGTCATAAACACCAAACTCTATTCATGAGATAACTAAAGCTAAAAAGGTCAGGAATAGGGATCGAGTGTCAGAGCGCCTGCCTAGCACGCTCAAGGCTCTGAACTCTAACCCCAGTACCTGAAAAAGAACAGAAAAACCAATCAAGGTGAATGGGAAGAGAAAAGAAACAAGCGTACCTTTTTTTGTAGCTCCTGGATATTGGTCTCCCAATTTTTATCTTCTTGTGATATTTGTCTAAAAGAAAGAAGAGAAGGGCACGTATGATCTCTGGTTCTGTGAAGAGTGAGGTTGGCAAGAGCACCATCTGCTGTGGCTGGAGCCTGGATGCCATCCACAATGTTGATCCTGGCACACCAGAGGAGGGTACCAACTGTCATGGAAAAAGTGACCAGGGGCACGTGGTTTGCCCATAAAGAAAGACTACCATCCCTCTATTTCCAAAGAGACATTTCTAAATAGGAAGTGTGTGCGTGTACTAATATGAGAACAAGCGCTAGAGATGCCATGAAGAACATATGCCAACATGGGAATGAGAAAACCCTTTACTCTGTTCTTTGTATGTCTCATCCCTCAGCGGCCCTAGAACATTGGTTCTGACACCCCCCCCCAAGAACATACACAAGTGTTCAAGTACAAAATCAGTGCATTTGTTCATAATCTACACATACTCTCATCTGCTTTAAACTATTTTGAGGTTATTTACAATACGACCGTGCAAATGAGCCAGGCGCTGGTGGCTCACGCCTGTCATCCTAGCTACTCAGGAGGCTGAGATTTGAGGATTGCAGTTCAAAGCCAGTGGAGGCAGGAAAGTCCTTGAGACTCTTCTCTTCAATTAATCACCAGAAAACTGGAAGTGACACTGTGGCTCAAGTGTCAGAGTGCTAGCCGTGAGCTGAAGAGCTCAGGGACAGCGCCCAGCCCCAGAGTTCAACCAAGAACAACAACAAACAAGTTCCATAAACAGAACATTGATGTCCTGGATATTTAGGGATTATAAAATGGCAGGAATAAAAGCCAGGCAAGGTCAACACTGCTATATTGTTTAAAATTATTTTTTTGGTAGTAATTGACTCACAGAGGAAGACCCAACAGGTACTGTCTCCCCCACCACCCCCACCCATGTGTCTGAATTGCTTTGTTTCTTAAAAGAGGACTTGGAACCTTTTCAACTGACTTTTACAACTAAATACAGAAAAAAAAATTGGTTTAAAAAAAAGCAAAGAAATATCACTTGTTTTGATGGTAATTTTATCCACTAAGGATTTTTGAGAAGTTTTCATGTCTGTTTCAGGCTCCCTAATATATTCCTCCTTTCCTTTAAAAAAGAGAAGAGTGCTGGAGCAGCAGTGGCTCACACCTGTCATCCTAGCTACTCAGGAGGCTGAGATCTGACATCACAGTTCGAAGCCAGCTTGGGCAGAAAAGTCAGTAAGACTCTTCTCTATGACTAATCAGCAAAAAAACCTCCAAAAACAAAAAACCCAAAACAAAAAAAATCCCACTACCACCACCACCAGCCACAAAAAAAAAACCAGCTAGAAATATGGCTCAAGTGGTAGAGCCCTAGTCTTAAGTGAAAAGCCAAGCAAAAGTGTGAGGCCCCGAGTCCTACTATTAGAAAATGAATGAATGAATGAATGAATGAATTAAGAGGTTAAACCTTTCTGGTTCAGCCCCTATTTTTCTGGCTTATTTTCTTACCTGTGGATTAGAGGGTAAAGTTGTTACACTGTAGAGTTCACATTTAGCGTATAGCACTATAAGTGGTACCTAAAAACAATTCACTTGGCCAGGCATGATGGCTCAAGCCTGTAATACTAATTACTTGGGAAACAGAGACTAGGAAAGTTCAATTCCAATTCAGCCAAGCATGCCAGGCACGGGTGGCTCACGCCTGTAATGTTAGCTACTTAGGAGGCTGAGGTTTAAAGCCAGCCCAGGCAGGAAAGTCTGTGAGACTCTTATTTCCAATGAACCCAAGGAGATGGAAGTGGAGCTGTGGTAACTAGCCTTCAGTGAAAATACTCAGGGACTGTGCCCAGGCCCTGAGTTCAAGCCCCACAACCAACCAAAAAGTAATAAAAGAATTCAGGGCTGAGAATGTGGCTTAGTGGTAGAGTGCTTGCCTAGCATGCATGACGCCCTGGGTTCAATTCTTCAGTTCCACATACACAGAAAAAGCCAGAAGTGGTGCTGTGGCTCAAGTGGTAGAGTGCTAGCCTTGAACCAAAGAAGTGCAGGGATAGTGTCTTGAGTTCAAGCCCCAGGACTGGCAAAAAAAAAATCAGCCAGGTAAAAAGAAGTTTGTGAGAATCTATCACAACTACTGGCTGGGCCCAGTGGCAGAAACCTCTCATTCCCAGCAACTTGTAGAAGAATCAGAGCCCATGGCTAGTCCCAACATAAAGCCAGATCCTGCCTAAAAAAATAAATAACAGTAGAAAAGGGGCTAGAAGCACGACTCAAGAGGTAAAGCACCTGCCTAGCAAGTGGAATGAGTTCAATCTACAGCATTGCCCACCAAAAGTATTCATTTGGACCCAGGTAGGCCTCTCTTTGATGATGTCACAGATGCTTAGGAAGATGATCATTTTATTACTTTTTTTTTTTTTAATTGCTGATGGGGCTTGAACTCAGGGCCTGGGCACTGGCCCTGTGCTTTATTTGTTCAAGGCCATTATTCTACCATTTGGAACCACAGCACCACTTCCGGTTTTCCAGTGGTTCATTGGAGCTAAAAGCTTCACAGACTCTCCTGCTCAGGCTGGCTTTGAACCACGATCCCCAGATCTCAGCCTCCTGAGCAGCTAGGATGACAGGCGTGAGCCGCCGTCCCCTGGCCAAGATGATCTTTTTTAACTCGCTTGATTTGTGTGCTGTCGGACTTCTGCACTATTCCAATGGAGAGCAGAATAGTGTCCACACCATTCACACCATTGCACAGCCACCGAAGGCGGGAAGGGCAGCTGAGCATCCGGGCCGCCTGCTGCCTGGTACCTGTGGAAGCTGCGCAGCCTTTGGGCCAACAGGTGCTCCAGTGCCAGCACCTTGGCCAGCAGCAGGCCCCGCACTGCTGTCTCCTCACGGCTGGCCGGGCTGATGCGCTGGGCAGTCAGGCGCCAGACGTGAATTTCATGCTTCAGCTCTGCAGAGAAAGAAAAAGGCAGGTTTGAGGCTTGGGTCTCCCTGGTCCTTGGATTTCAGCACCAGCTCACCACGTGCCTCAAGAAGCCAGGGTCAGCCCAAAGCAGAGACCTCTCTCAGCGCAGGAGTTACTGTGCCGGGAAAAGATGACAAAGCTAACGTTTTCCTCTTTCTTATTTGTGACACTGGGGTTCAAGCTCAGGGCCCCCCCATTCTAGGCAGCACTCTACCAGTTGAGATAAGCTTTTAGGCCAACATATTTTAAGAAAATTAACTACACACTTGCCAGGCATTGGTGGTTCCTGCCTGAAATCCTAGCTACTAAGGGGAGGCTGAGATCTGAGGATTGTGGTTTGAAGCCAGCCAAGGCAGAGAAATCCCTGTGAGACTCTTTAAGTACTCAAAAGTCAGAAGTGGAGCTGTGGCTCAAAGTGGTAGAGTGCTAGCTTTGAGCAAAAAGAGCTCAGGGACAACGCTCAAGCCCTGAGTTCAAGCCCCGCAACTGACAAAAAAATTAACTACACAAGCTAGGTATACACTAGTATACTACACTAGCTACATGGGAGATCAGGAGGATCACAGTTTAAGACCAACCTAGGCATACACATAAGACTCTTTCTCAACCAATAGCTAGAGGCAGTGCTATATGTTTGTCATCCAAGCCATAACGGGGAAGCTTAAAATAGGTGGATTGAGGTCCCGGCACACACTCAGCCAGGCAGTTGGACCCTATCCTGAAAAGCATAACCAGTGTAAGGAATGGCTGAACGTATGTCTGGCAGTAGAGTGCATGCCTAGCAAGTCTAAGGCTCAGAGTTCAAACCCCAAAACTGTCCAAAAAAAAAGTCACAGCAAAAAAATCAGCGAGCCTGGTGCAAGTGGCAGATCTTCTGTCTGGCAAATACAAGACCTAGTACCACCAAAAAAATAATCATAATCACCACTGGATTATGGTGTGTTTATTTCACTACGGTGTCACGGCAAGCAGCCGCTCAGAACCGGGAGGTGCAAAAATGGAGGTCTGAGGCCAGCCCAGTCAACATCAAGAGAACCCTATTTAGAAAAACAAACTAAAGCAAAAAAATAAATAAAAGCTTGGAGCCATGACTCAAGTGGTAGAATGCTGGCCTAGCAATTTCAACTCTAGGTGAAGAATAATTTTCTTTTCTGAATAGCCATGTCAAAGCTAACAACCAGCAACCCTGTCTTCTTTCTATAGGCTTCACTTTCACAACAAATCCAGATGTGCTCTGAGTATAGTCTATCTGCACCAAACTCACACATTCTATGCCATGTTATAAATGCAGCCAGAAGGGCCTTACTGGACGCTGGTACCATGAGCAGCAACCTTCCAGCCTAATGAACAGTAACTTAAATAAACTTTTCTTTTTTTTTTGTTGGTGGTGGTGGTCATGGGGCTTGAACTCAGGGCCTGGGCGCTGTCCCTGAGCTTTTGTGCTCAAGGCTCGCTCTACTTCCAACCTCTCCTCTTTATAGCTTACACAGTTTGTGGTGTTCTGTTATAGCAGCAGAAAATGGACGAGGCTAGTTGTCCAATCTTTGAGCAATTTCAGACACAGGTATAATAAGGATCAGAAATTAATGATTGCAAACTGAAGTAGCAGATCTCAGAACTTTCCTGAAAGCCATTTGATAAAAGATAGAAGGCGCAGGAAGCTTTTCCTCCCAACCAGGCCTTCCCTGAGCTCAAGTTTGTTGCACATGAGAGAGACTAGACAGCCTGATGAATTTGAGACATCAATAAATGAGCAGAATTTCCGCCCATCACTGACAGAGAAGAGTGGAGAGAATTGATTTGTCTGAACTGCCTCCTAAGATGTCCAGTGCTTTATGGATGCTTATTCCTCACCTCTGTTTTACAGTTAAAAATACTGTAAGAGGAGAGAAGCCAAGATGGGGGAAATAAAAGCAAGCAGCCTTTGCAACTTCTCAGTGGATGGAAATAGCCAGAAAGCAGCTTGGCATACAGCTTCTGGAGACAGCAAGCAGGCTGAGGGAGTGGGAGAGGATGACAGAGTTTTACACTAGGAGCACTCAGGACGCTGCTTATTGCAGCTAGGGTCTGGGGGAATTGCACATCTGGGTTGAGCCCATGGTTGGCCCAGAGTCATCACGGCCGAGGGAGGCAGGAAAGAAAGGAGAGATGGAGACATAATGGGGGGGCTGAGTGGGGGGAGGGGACTCAGAACTAGATGCAGAACACATAGACAGTTGGCGCTTAGCTGATCTGGGAGCTACTATTTCTTGGAGTTCATGCCGATAAACATCCTTTTATATGATCATACGCACATAGCTATTGAGTCTTTGTGATTCTTTCTTGAGAAAATCCTCTGTTGGTCTCACTGTGTGAATGTCCAAGTGCATTTGGGGGGGTGGTTTGTTTTTTTTGTTTGCTTGCTTGCTTTTGCCAGTCCAGGGGCTTGAACTAAGGGCCTAGGTGCTGTCCCTGAGTTTCTTTTGCTCAAGGCTAGCACTCCACCACTTGAGCCACAGCAGCACTTCCAGCCTTTTCTGTTTATGTGGTGCTAAGGGATCAAACCCAGGGCCTCATGCATGCAAGGCAAGTACTCCACCACCGAGCCACCTTCCCAACCCCCAACTGTATTTTTTTTGTCTTTTACCATCTAGTGTATTTACTTATAGGTTTATAGGCACATTGTAGTTACAACTAATGAGAGGAAAACACAACTTGTTTCTCTGGGTCTGGCTTACTTCATTTAATATAGTTTTTCCCAAGTCTTTCCATTTCCTTACAAATGGTACAATACCATTCTTTCTGATGGAAGTGTAGACTTCCACTGTGTGTATATATACCATATTTTCTTGATCCATTCATTCGCTAAGGAGCATCTGGATTGATTCCATATCTTGGCTGTGGTAAACAATGCTGCAGTGAACATTGTTGTGCTGGTAGCTTTAGTGTGGTCTTGTTTGTGGTCTTTTGGATAAATGAACAGAAGTGGAATTTCTGGGTCGAAAGCTCTGTTTAGTCATTTGAGGAAGCTCCATACTGTATGCCAGAGTGAACAAGTTTACATACCCACCAACAGTGCAGTAGCATTCACCTTTGGCTAACCCTCCAGCTTCTGTTATTGCTAGTTTTCTTGATAGTGGTCATTCTAACTGGAATGAAGAAGAATCTCAGTGTTGTTTAGATTTTCATTTCTTTTATGGCCAGAGATATTGAACATTTCTTCATGTGTCCACTGGCTGTCCTTGCTCCTTCTATTGAGAAGTCTCTCTTTGAGTCTTTAGCTCATTTATTAATTTGGTTGTTGTTTCTTTGAGGGTTTATTTTTGGAGGTTTAATTTTTTTCAACTCTAAGTACATTTTAGATATGAGGTCCTTGTCTGATACATAGCTAGTAAAAAAAAAATCTTCCATTTGGTGGGCTTCCTATGTATTTTGTGATCTATGTCCTTTTGTTGTTGGTGGTGATGGTGGTGGTGGTGGTGGTCATGGGGCTTGAACTCTGGGCCTGAGCGCTTGTCCCTCAGCTCTTCAGCTTAAGGCGAGCTCTCTACCACTTGAGCCACAGCACCACTTCCGGTTTTTGGTGGCTAATTGGAGATACGACTCTCACAGAATTTCCTGCCCGGGATGACTTTGAACTGTGATCCTCAAATCTCAGCCTCTTGAGTAGCTAGGATTACAGGCGTGAGCCACTAGTACCCATCTTACCTGCTATTTTGACTTGGGACCCTACCACTTGAGCCACAGTGCCACTTCCAGTTTTCTGAGTGCTTTATTGGAGATAAGAGTCTTAACGGCCTTTCCTGCCCAGGCTGGCTTTAAACTTGGGTCCTCAGATTTCAGCCTCCTGAGTAGCTAGGATTACAGGTGTGAGCCACTGACAGCCAGCTGAGCTATGTCCTTTGCCATGCAAAATCTCTTTGGTTTGATTCACTACCATTTATCTAGTATTCTTTGATTTGTTGTGATTCTGGATTTTTACATAGGAAGGTCTGACCCATGTCTGGGAGCACTAGTGTAATATTTTCATGGTATTTGGCCTTATTTTGAAGTCTTTCATCCATTTGGAATTGATTCAGGAGCAGGTTGATATATAGGGACCTAATTTCCATTTTCAGCATGTAGATAGCCAATTCTGCCAGCACCATTTGTTGAAGAAGTTGTCTTCTTTCCATCCTGTGCCTTTGACTCCCCCATCAAATATTAGCCGGCTATACATAATGTCTTTGGGTTCATTTCGGGGTTTTCAATTCTATCCCATTGGTCCTCAACCTTATTCCTGTGCCAGTACCAACTTGTTGTTATTATTATTATTATTATTATTATGGCTTTGTAATAGAGTTTGAAGTTTGGTATTGAAATTCCTCCTACACTGACTGTTCTTCTTGCTAAGGATTATTATTATTTTTTTTTTTTGCTATCGGGGTCTTTTTAGCTACCTACTTTCTGACCCATCAAGTCACAAATGGGAAGCTGCCTTCTTCTGTTTAGCTCATCTGTTAATGCTCAGGCAGAGCATTTCTGCTTTCCTAGCAGAAGAAAACATGAATTGTGAAGGAATTTAGTTGGGAACCATTTTGCTCCGGAGCAATGATGACACCATATTCAGAGAGGTAGTCTGGTCACTAACCCTGAGCACGCAGCATCCCAAGGAAGTCACTTCCCTCACGTTCTGCATGCCATGGTACTGCCAGCATGTTTGTAAGAACCTGCGGAAAAAGGATAGTGAAATCTGGGGCTACACAAGGGGATGCTTCTACCCACCAACGATTTCACTGGGCTCCTTGTTATAAAGCTTCTTGTTCCAGTAAAGGAGTCTGAGGAGTGGAAAGGAAACAAGGAGAACGAGGCAAATCCCAACAAACATGTGTGCTGTGAATTCGGCGAAGTCCAGGCCCTGGAAAGAGAAAAGGAGCAAGGTGACAGTCAGGCCTTTTCTCTACACTGATACCTACTCTTAACATCATTATCAGGGGAGGGATGAGGCCAGACCTAGAGAGAGAGAGAGAGAAAGAGAGAGAGAGAGAGAAAGAAAGAGGAAAGAGAGAGAGAGAGAGAGAGGAGGGGTGCACCAGGGACTCAGGGTTCTTTCGGTGAATTGTCCTAGAGCTCAGGACAAAGCCCAAAGAAAACATGGGCACTTTACTTCTTAGAAAGTCCTGCTTCTCTTTCCCTCTTTGCCTCATTTTGTATTGTTTTGTTGTAGGCTTCACTCTACATTGTCTCAATTGATGGATTATGGAATGTTAAAGCATGTGAAACAACCCACAGAAATAGTGTTGGAACATTCCTGGCTTCATAATCTATGTGCACATATGGGGGTATGACTGAGGGATTCTTAGGCCATAAAATCATTTTCTAGGTAATTCATTTTAAGGATAGCTCTTCAATAAGTCCAAAGAATCCATTGGGTTGCAAAAGGAGTGGTTCAAGTCGACATGGTGATTGAATTCTAATGGGAGGTATAGTTTGTTGTTTATTTTCTTATTGATTTTGTTGTTGTTGTTGGTGTTGGTGGTGGTGGTGGTGGTGGTGGTGGTGTGTGTGTGTGTGTGTGTGTGTGTACGTGTGTGTGTTGGTACTGGTGCTTGAACTCAGGGTCTCATGCTTTGGCTCAGCATTTTTTTTTTTTTGTTGCTCACAGCTGGTGCTCTACCATGTGAGCCGAACCTTCAGTTTTATATTATCTTTTTTTAAAGCCAATATATCTATATACGAAGATTCTGGCAGACTAGCTGTGCTAAGACAATAAGAGACTGTATCGCTGGTTGGGGATTATTCTGAGTGTGACGATTTGTTTTGTTGTTTGGTTTCAGTGTGTGTGTGTGTGTGTGTGTGTGTGTGTGTGTGTGTGTATGTGTGTGTGTGTGTGTGTGTGAGTTCTACTTTCTTTTTTTCTGAAAACAGTTCTTGAGTGTTAACAATAGCTCAGGCTATTGTAATCCTAGCTACTCACTCAGAAGGCTGAAATTGGGAGGCTCACAGGCTGCTTCAACCCAGGACCCTCAGATCTCAGCCTCCTGAGTAGCTGGGATTACAGGCCTGAGCCACTGGCTCCTGGCTCTAATCATTTCTTTAAAGATGTTTTTGACTATGACTAAAGTTAGTTCAGACCCATCACTTTACTTCCCACTTGAGATGACCAATAGCACTAACAGTGAAGAGGCTACATAGAGAACACTGATTTCCAGTGAAGTTAAGCAAGAAAAGATCCTCATGGGGGAAGGTAAGTGCCCAGTGGGAAAGTTGGGGAATGTGCTCAGTTGGGCACTTATGGAGCAATCCTTGTATGCTGGCACTTACCATTTTCCTCAGCTCCTGGTTAGAAACTATGATGACATTGGGCGGGTCTCCAATGGCAGTGGCAGCTCCTCCAATGTTTGTGAAGATCACTTCTGCAATCAGGACTTGTCTGGGATCGAGGTTCAGCACCTCACATAACCTACCGTGAATGGAGGACCATGGATGGAGGGCCATGAATGGAAGATCACGATGTACATAATAAAAAGCCCAGGTAAAACCCAAATAGGTTCAAGGCATCTGCTTATACTAGGAAGGCACATGCCTGCACGTGTGTATACACACACACACACACACACACACACTTGTGAAAGTGGAGGTGCTTATTATCAACTTCAGCCACACCTTCAAGCTACAGAGCATTCTGAGAGTTACATTTCTTCCAAATTTCTTCACCTTCTGAGCCATCCGTGTGATAAGGTATTCCCCTCCCATCCCCCACAGTCTGTAACACAGGCCTCCAGTGGAGGGCAGGGATTGGCGCAGCCACCAGACTGTCTGAGTCAGGGATAGTGACAGTACAGAAAACCAGTACTAACCCTAAGCTTGCTCACCTTAGTTCTTTTTATCTTTTCCTTTTCTTTCTTTCTTTCTTCCTATCTTTGTTGGTCGTGGGGCTTGAACTCTGGGCCTGGGTGCTGTCCCTCAGCTCTTCAGCTCAAGGCTAGCACTCTACCACTTGAGCCACAGCACCACGTCCGGTTTTCTGGTGGTTTATTGTAGATCAGAGTCTCACAGACTTTCCTGCCCAGCTGGCTTTGAACTGCGATCCTCAGATTACAGGCGTGAACCACCAGCACCTGGCTCTTTTTTTTTTTCTTTTTAATTATAGGTGTGAGCCACCAGCACCTAGTTTTATTTATTTATTTATTTTACTCTTTTTTTATTTGGTGGGTTGTGGGGTTTGAACTCTGGGCCTGGGCACTGTCCCTCAGCTCTTCAGCTCAAGGCTAGCACTCTACCACTTGAGCCACAGTGCCACTTCCGGTTTTCTGGTAGTTAATTGGAGAGAAGAGTCTCTAGAGAGAAGAGCTTCCTGCCCAGGCTGGCTTTGAGCTGAGATCCTTAGATCTCAGCTTCCTGAGTAGCTAGGATTACAGGTGTGAGTCACCAGTACCTGCCTCTTAAGGAAGCCAAGGCCTGAATTGACTTCATTCTCATTCTGATAAAAGTTTTAAAGAAATAATTAGATATCCATGACCTGCATAACTATTTATAGAGAGATAAATAGATAAAGAAATAAATGTCAACTGATTGTAGTGGATGGAATGAAAAGAGATGCAATTGAATCAAGCCAGATTTCTCAATGTGATCCTACGGAGCCTTACCAGGCTGAGTGGACCAGTCAGTTCTGTGACCTTCTGACAAGAAGTCAGACTGCCATACTCCATTACCCTCCCTCCCCCCCCCCCCAGTACGTGCCCCATTCAGCCCCGTGCGGGAGCTCTTACCCAGCATGTGCATAGCTGCTGATAACTCAGGTGGGAAAGTACATGGCCAAGAACTCCTGAGACCTGAGGATCTGGGTGATGGTCTTGCCTATATCCCTGCGCCTCTCCCCCCCACAACAGGGGAAAAAGCAAGGCCCCTGCCATCCAATTCTCCATGAGGAGTTGCTATGGCGACACTGCAGACGCTGCAGCTGTCCTTAGCTATGCTACCATCAGGAGGAGGCTCTGTCTCCTGCCTTCTTGTAAGGGTGCTACTGGAGACTTGGGACAGCAAGACCCTCCCACTCGAGTCCTGAGCCCAGCCACACACCCTTGGTAGAAGGCCCCGTCTACCTTATGGTCACAGGAGTGAAGAGGAGCATCGTGGTGACATTGTCTAGGAAGGCAGAAAGGACGGCAGCCATGAGACACAGCATCATGATCATGGGCCACACTCTCCCTCGGGATAGCTGGTATGCCTGGGGGTGCGCATGCATGGGAAGGAATTAAGTCAGGATTAGCACGTTCAGAGAATGGATGCTACGCTTCATTAGTGACTCCAACGAAGAGGGACTGTGTCAACATTTCACAGTGGGTTAAAACCTAAACCTGTTCCCTGCAGAGTTGAAAAATCTGCTAAGATGAGATGATAGTGCTCATATTGGGCACCAAAATGCCTGGACAACCTAAATCTGCCTTTGGTCTGCCTTCTTTCATTTCAGATGTTCTCTGTGTCCACAGTGCCCTGGTGATGGTAAATTGGCTACTGAGTGCCAACCCTCAGTTCCTTTAAGTCATCTAGAATTTCGATTTGATAGTCTGGGTTGTACCATTTGAGGTCTCTATGTTCCTTGTGTCTGCTGGTCTTCCAGAACCTAAAGAATTCTTTTAGTGTCATGGTATCGGGAGGAAGCAATAGCTACCTGGAGAGCTGGGTGAAGAGCTCTGTTATTTTTCAAAAGAAGTTTCCGGTTCCATGAATAATATCAAGCTCAGCACCGGCCTTTGTATTAGCAGGGCACAGCAAGATCTCCCCTTGCCAATGAGGCCTGGTAGGTTCAGGTTAAATCCTGTAGGCCAGAAGCTGCCAGTGGAGCCCCAGGTTCCAGTTAAAAGGCTAATTATGCCAGACACCTGTGGCTCACACCTGTCATCCTAGCTACTCAGGAGGCTGAGATCAGAAGATCATGGTTCAAAGTTAGCCCAGGCAGAAAAGCCCATGGGACTCTCATCTCTAATACACTACTCAGAAAAAGCCAGACATGGCCCTGTAGCTCAAGTAGTAGAACGCTAGCCTTGAGCAAAAGAAGCTCACAGAGTTCAAGCCCCAGGACTGGCCAGAAAAAAAAATTAAGCCCTTGAGTCACAGCTCCACTTCCAGCTTTTTACTGGTTAAATGGAGATAAGAGTCTCTTGAGCTTTCCTAGCTGGGCTGGCATTGAACTATGATCCCCAGATTTCAGCCTCCTGAGTAGCTAGGATTATAGGCATAAGCCACCAGCACCAGACTTAAAATAATTTTTGATATGTAGCTCTCACCAGTCAATTTAATTAATACATACACATACCCAGCTTGAGTATTCTTTTCCTTGGTCTCTTCCTTTTATTTATAAAAGAGCTGAAAGTTTTGCTCAACATAATGTTCAACACAGCTACATCTCACAGAAGCCTTGCAGAAGTAATTTTGAAATGAAGTGTGGCTTCTTAAAACATCTGATTTAAATAATAGCTAATTTACTGAAAAGAAACCACTATTAGAATACTACGCATATGGATGAATTGATTGACAACTATTAATTGCAATATCACACCTACCTTAATAGCACAACAATCAAAAAACCCAGTTTCTGAAAATATGGCTACTAAGATCATCTGTAAGGAGAAAAAAGAAACAGGAGCTTCTTTTAGCAGAATACTGTAATGAAACAATGTCAGCATGGTGAGCTAAGAATTTGAGCTCTTAACCAGCTCTACAGACAGATTATTTTTGTCTTCATTTGTCCACTTCCTCAACTTCTTTTTTTTGGGGGGGGGTCCGGTCGTGGGGCCTAAACTCTGGGCCTGGGTGCTGTTCCTCAGCTCTTCAGCTCAAGGCTAGCACTCTACCACTTGAACCACAGTGCCACTTCCAGATTTTTTTCTTTTTGCTTATGTGGTGCTGAGGAATCGAACCCAGGGCCTCATGAATGCAAGGCAAGTGCTCTACCACTGAGCCACCTCCCCAACCCCTCCTCAACTTCTTGAGTGGAGCTCCCTTCAAGAGGTTTGGCACGTACATTTTTGTCTGAAGATCTGTCACTATCATCCCATCTAATCTTGACAACACTGTGATGATGTGTTATTATTACTAGGTTTCATAGGAAGTTGGGGAACAGAGAAATAGATGACTTTTGTTGTTGTTGTTGATCATGGGGCCTGAACTCTGGGCTTGGGAGCTGTCCCTCAGCTCTTCAGCTCAAGGCTAGTGCTCTACCACTTGAGCTATAGCACCACTTCTGGCTTTTTCTGCTTATGTGGTGCTGAGGAATCGAACCCAGGGCCTCATGCATGCAAGGCAAGCACTCTACCACTGAGCTACCTTCCCAGCCCTATATGACTTATTTCGTCCCAAAGCTCAAAGCAGGGAAGGAAGCAAGCCAATGGATAAGCATCTGTACCTAATGGTCTACATAGCCAGACATCTTCAAATCCTATAATTGGAGCAGATTTTGGGTCCAGATTTTTGTTGCCAATGTAACAATCACATGCAAGTGGGAATAATGCACAGATGGTTACTCTCTGAGTTTTGTAGGAACTGAGATACATATTCACTTCTGGAATTCAGGAAAATGAATTGGTGAGAAAAAACATCCTAGGTATTAATAAAAGGTCATGTCAGATTTATTCTGAATTTAGTCAGAAATTTCAACCAGTCTGAACTTTCTGGAAGGCTTTCTGTTTCACAGCAGGTGAACCACATCATTTATTTGTGTGTGTGTGTGTGTGTGTGAGAGAGAGAGGGGTGGGAGGAGTGGGGAGGGGAGAGTCAGTCCTAGGGCTTGAATGCATTCTACTGCTTGAGCCATAGCTCCACTTCTGTCTTTTTTGGGTGGATAGTTGGAGATAAAATCTCACAGACTTTCCTACCTGGGCTGGCTGAAACTGCTGTTCTCAGATCTCAGCCTCCTGAGTAGCTAGGATTATAGGCGTGAGCCATCAGCACCTGGCTTATTTAAAAACATTTGTCTTTTCTATGTCTAGCATTCCTCCCTTCTTCCTTCCACCCAGGTGGCCAAACCCAATGCACTTCCCAGGCTCAACATAAAGATGAGCTCTCCTGTCAAGCCAGAGTACAGAGCTTTAACTTCAATCACCCCACTACCATGTGTTAAGCTTGGACTCAAGTACTAGTTCTGCCCCTTAGGAATAGTTCAGCCTTGTGTGAAAAAAATTGTTTAAGCCCTCCACCCTTCAATTTCCTTACCTCACCTCTGGATAGTCTATATCTTACAAGGTGGTTGAGAGAATTCAATGAAATTACATAAATCAATGAACTTGCTAAATTATGAACCCAATATTGTCTTTCAAAGAAACTGAAGAAAACAGAAAAATTCCAAAACCAGTTTTGACTTTGTATTAATTAGTTCCAACTCAGAATGAAGAATCTACTGATACTCTTTGATACTCCCCCTTACCCAAGTATGGGGCTGAGTATAGAAAGTGGCACCAGTGAAGTTTCACTCACCTGACCATGAGTGAATAGACAGTTACGTGGAAGCCCATGTGGCCTTCCACTGTCCTAGGAAGAGAACTGGAACTCAGAGATCACAGTAAGTGGTCCCTGCAGATAGTGCACTGCCAGGAAATAGGGCAGATAAAATAGAGTCCTCATTGTATAGATTCCCTGCCATTCCTGTAGTTCCAAACTCGTAGAAACTATAGGTGCTTACTAAACTAATTTCAATGGAGAAAGAAAACAAACACTAGGCCATATTTATTGTGTCTCTCCTTTCCAAAATTCACGTGTTCAAGTCCTAACCCTCAATACTTCAAAATGAGGCTATACTTGCAGATGGGCTAATTAAGGGAAGTTACAATCAGGTCATTAGTGTGGAACTTAATGCAAAATATATGACCAGTGTCCTCCTGAGATGAGGGGATTAAAACACCAGTGCCACGGAAGAAAGAGCTTGTGAGGTCACTGTGGAGAACAGATCATCCACAAGCCAAGAAGAACCAACGCTGCTGACACCTTCATCTTTAACCTCCAGCCTCCTGACCTGTGAGAAATAACTTTGTGTTGTTCAAACCATGCGGTGCTTTGCTGTGGTAGGTCTAGCAATGAAACATCATCATAAATCTTATAGACGTCTGAGCTGCCTCCCTTCTGCCATTCAGGTCCCCAAGCCCAGTACATTTCCCAGCCCCTAACACAATGAATGTTCTTCCCTCTGGGAAGTCTAGGTCAGAGTACCATTTCACCTTCCTGCCCACAGAGGGCAGCAGAGCAACTCTGAAGCCTAGAGTAGTAGCAGGGCTCTCTCCTATCTGGCTCAAGAGGGATATTTGAGAGGAGATGAGAAGATATGATAAACTGCTTTACACAGAGTGAGGCACAAGTCCTTGATCAGACCACTTGGCTGTTTTGGTGTCTGCTCAAGAATGCGTAAGCTATTCCCACTGTGGTCCAAATTCCACTTATTCTGTTTGAAGCCATTCATGACTCATTCCCTACTCTAATCCACTTGTGATTTTTAAGTTTCTTTTCTACAAGTTGGTTTAATGACATTCTTCATAGTATGGAATGTCACATGACAATGTGATAAATTAGCAAACACTCAAAATGTTACTTAGGCATCTTTTTTAGTTGTTATTTTTTGCTGTGTGTGTGTGTGTATGCATACCAGCATGCTCACACTGGGGGCTTGAACTAGGAGCCTAGACACTGTCCCTGAGCTTTTTTGCTCAAATCTAGGGCTCTCCCATTTGAGCCACAGCTCTACTTCTAACTTTTTTGGTAGTTAATTGGGGATCAGAGTCTCGTGGGCTTTTGTGCCTAGTCTGGCTGCGAACTTCGATCCTCAGATCTCAGCCTCCTGTGTAGATATCATTTTCCAACCTACAGAAATAAAAGCACTTTTCTAATATGATCACTGAAATCTTCGTGTGGTTCATCTATTTGGGGTATGCCATTTTATTTTAAGGTTACTAATTTTTTAAAAGGCTCACTTTTTAGAATGGCCATTTTATTTCCTTGTTTGACAAGCCTTAAGATGGAGTTCTTTAGCTAACAACCCAAAGCCACCAGTTAGTTGTTCTGTCCCTTCTCAGGAGAAATTAGCTGAACCTGCGTTAACACTTCTCAATCAAGTCCGAATTGTCAAGAGATGTAGCATTTTTAATATAATGACAGACTAGGTTTCAAAAGGCTTGAAGAAATCTCCTGCTGGGCAAGACTGTAATTACCATGCCAAACAGTAGGGCCAGAGTCTCAAAATCAATCCACTCCACCACGTGGGTCAGGCTGGGTCTCTGCAATCCAAGCACAAATTTGCCAATTAATCCTGAGCATCACCCTCTCAGGGATAAATGGGCGGCCTTTGACCTCACCCCCAACTCATTGGGCCCAAGTCAGATTCATACCAACCACTTGCCTTTGAAGTGGGATTATATCCCTGCTAACCAGTGCATCTGTCATGTCAAATCGACTCATTCAAATAAGCATTTAAAAAATTGGAACCCTGTCCAGGGCAACTGTAGGAAGAATGTCTGTTGTTTGAACTGCAAGACTGACCCATGAGGATACCATCACAGCACAGGCTACCTATGTCCTCCGCAGTGAGGGGGGCCAGGACAGAGGACACCAGCTCAGACGGCCATGTGTCCTGCCCTCTACTCTCAAGGCAGCGTGGAGAGTGACTGAAGGGTCTACTAATAGAGCCTGACTGCTGGGAACGGGTAAGGAGCCCAGGGCCTTGCCAGTGTGTGTGCCAGCCAAAGGGCACAGAGTGATTTTTTCAAACGAAATAGATGGTTGCCACCCTATACCTTAACCATTTATAAAAATAACAGTAGTTTTCATTTTGGTGTTTTGTTTTGTTTTTTGTCAGTCGTGGGGCCTGAACTCTGGTCCTGGGCACTGTCCCTCAGCTCTTCAGCTCAAGGCTAGCGCTCTACCACTTGAGCCACAGCACCACATCCGGCTTTTTTCTTTTTGCTTATGTGGTGCTGAGGAATCGAACCCAGGGCCTCATGCATGCAAGGCAAGCACTCTACCGCTGAGCCACATTCCTAGCCCTAGGTCCAAGTTTTTAAATTGTGGGACATTTTACCTGTAGGAGGGGCATTTGTTTATACCAAATCTAGTCAATAACAATTCAAAAAAATCTAGTCAAAAAAATTTAAATCCTTTTTTTTAAAATAAAAAAAGGGGGAAGAGATGGTTCTGGGGCTTGAACTCAGGGTCTTACACTTTCACTCGGCTTTTCTTTTAAGGCTGGTGCTCTAGTACGTGAGCTATCCCGAGTGCAGCTTTTTGGGTGGTTAATTGGAGGTAAGACCCTCACAGACTTTTCTGCTCAGGTTGGCTTTGAACTACAATCCTCAGATCTCAGGCTCCTGAGTAGCTGGGATTACAGACACAAACTGTTAGCACTTAGCTAAATTCAAGTTCTAAGGCTATTGACCAGACCACCATAAACCATACCATACTCATACCCTACTAAATTCAAGTTCTTACTATTACTTTCAGGATAGTCCTAAGTTTTAATGTAATATATAGATATGTATATATATATATATATATACTAATATATTAACTATGGTATATACTTATATATACCAATATGTAATAAAGAATTAACACACCTCCTACATCCTTTTTATTACGTATTTATTTCTATTAGTTATTTAGTTTGTTATCCTTAAGTAGTCGCACAATAGGGTTTCAACTGAATGTCAGTTTGTGAGTACAAAGAATCTTGATCATATTTTATTCTTAATAAAAGAACTCTTTATTATAGCATGTATTTTATATGATATATTTATATTTTTATATTAGTGTAATAATTGTACAATGGGTTTGCTTGTAATACTTATATACGTGCATACAATTAATGTACTTCGATCAAACTCATCCCTGTATTGCTCTTTTTTAACTCCCTCCCTCCATACCTCTTTTAAAATAGTTATTACTGGTTTTTGTTATGCTATTTTCATTTGTGTGTGTGTGTGTGTTATATCTACCACCTATTACTCTCTTCCTTAATTTTTTAAACTAGTCTTTGTTCTTGGGTTGATTTGTGGACTCTAAAACAATTCATTGAGTTCCGTATAGTTGTTTTCAAATCCAGTCTGTGGGTGGCTGCCTTTGGGGGTGCTCTTAGCACAGTTCCAGCATTGCCCCTCAAACTACCACCCTCCATCTCCAGTGGCACTCAGCCTCTTTATTTCTCTACACAGACTCACCACGCTCCTGCCGGATGGAGCATGCTCAGGCCCTGATAGGACACCATCAACCCTGCAGGGGTCTCCAGGAGCCCCTGCTATCTATAGGACACAGACCCAGCCCCAGGGTCTCGCAACTCTCTGTGTCTGCCTCGAATCTGCCACTCTGCTTCCCAAAGGTTCGCCACACTGGATCCTGCTCTTACGCTGCTCAGCTTTGGGACAACTGCAAGACTACAAGAAATCTTCAACCAATATGAAGACTATGTTGGCTAAAGTTCAAATGATAATCATCAATGCCACAGTTGGTGAGTTCATACCTTTAGCATGGTTCCTGGGCAAAAATGTGGATGGGGCATACCAAAGAATTAAGCAGAGCAAATAAGGCCTATACCCCAGAGTGCTCCTCCATGGGACAGGCTGCCACGTGGTAAGCAGCAATTTGGAACATTATGACTTACGTCACCAACCACAGCCAGAGCTGCTAATGCTGCGAGAGCCCCCAACATGGCTGCCAGGGTTCTGTGAACAATCTGGAAAGAAACAGAAATTATTTTATTCCAGTCTACAAAAGCTTGGGCTGACACAAGGTTTCCATCTCTCACTGTATATCACATCATTTGAGTGATAAATAAAATCCAGCTGCTGGCGGCTCACACCTTTAATCCTAGCTACTGAAGAGGCTGAGATCTGAAGGTCCTGGCCCAAAACCAGCCTGGTCAAGAATGTCCATAAGATTCTTATTTCCAAGTTAACTACCAAAAAGGCTAGAAGTAGAGTCAGGTGGTAAAGCACTAACCTTGAACAAAAAAGTTCAGGGACAGAGCTCAGGCCCTGGGTTCAAGCCCCAGGATCAGCAAAGAAAAAAAAAAGATAAATGAAAGCTGGGTATCAGTAGCTTATACCTATAATCCTAACTACTCAGGAGGCTGAGATCTGAGGACCAAAATTCAAAGGCAGGCCTGGAAAGAAAGTCTGTGAGACTCTTATTTCCAATTAACCACCAAAAAATCAGAAGTGGAGCCATGGCTCAAGTGGTAGAGCGCTCACCTTGAGCATAAAACCTTATGGACAGTGCCCAAGTCCTGTGTTCAAGCCTCAGGACCAGCACACACACACACACACACACACACACACACACACACACACACACACGATTTATAAAAAGCAAAGGGAAAAAGGCTGTTCTAGAATAAAAGAGACATACAGATAGAATAACAAGACCCCACAAGTAGACCTTGTTCAGCCATGGAGGATTCAACTTACATTCCTCACCAAGAGTCCCTACTACCAGACATCCATGGGCTCGGTTCTAGAACCTTCCTGACCTTGCCTCTTGCCGCTCATCGACTTGACACTTCCAAGGTGTTTCTTGTACCTACTAAGCTCACCTGGAAGTACCTCCTCAGATTCCCATTTTTCTCTCTCCTTGCCAGCTCCACACAGGGAGCCAACATTCTTGCTGACCTGTAAGGTCTGGTTTAACAAGCTAAATCAGCAACAGAACCACCCAAGCCAGGAAGGGTTTGTCCTTTCATTTAATGTGCAGAGCCACACCTAGGATTTTCTAGGAACATCGAGATGATAGCACTTCAGGCCTTTTGGGGAGATGGCCATTCGCAAATGGATAATGAGGAGAGATTCCTCCACACACCTGACCTTCATATGCGTATCTTGTGATGCAGGAAGGAGGGATGCTAACATGCCCTCCCATACATGAAGACTCTGAATCTCAGACAAGTTCATACCTTGTCTGCTCAAGATCATACTTGGCTTGAGCTATGGAGAATAGAAACCCTGTACATATTCCATTTTCTTACTGTGCTTTGGTGTGCATATGTTGTGTGTGTGTGTGTGTGTGCGCGCACACACACACACGTGTGCACACGCGGGCACATGCATGCGAATACTAGGGCTTGAATTATACTAGGGCTTGAATACTAGATTTGAATACTAAAGCTTTAATACTAAGCCTTGAATACTAGGGCCTGTGTGCTGTTTATTAGCTTTTTTGATCTAGGCTGGTGCTCTACCACTTGAACCACAGCTCCACTTCCTGATTTTTTGTGGTTAATTGGAGATAAGGGTCGCTTGGATTTGTCTGCCTGGGCTGGCTTTTGAACCTGGATCCTCAGATCTCAGCCCAGTCTTAATTTCAGCTAGGATTATAAGCATGACCCACGGTTGCCTGCCTCTCACTGTGCCTTTGCTGGTCCCTTCAGACCACATCTTGCCCTACGCCATGTCCAAGATTCAACAACTATTCGGATACAGTCCTGTTTTCTACCTAGAATGAAAGATGTGCCAATTCCAAGAGTGACAGTATTCTGATTCGATTAAGTTAGGATTAACCCACGACTACCCTAAGAAAATATCTATCAAATTAAAATACCCTGCAGACACAATGGAAGGGGTGAACTGATCAAGATGCATTGTACTCAGAACCTGACTTATGGAATCATAACCTCTTGGTACAACTACCTACTAATGATTTTTGTGGGTATTTGCTGCTTCTGGGGGTTGAACTCAGAACCTGGGTGCTGTCCGTGAGCTTTTGGGATCAAGGTTACTATCATATCACCCTACCACTTGAGCTACAGATTCATTTGTGGCTTTTTTGCTGGTTAATGGGAGATAAGAATCTCATGGATTTTCCTGCCTGGGTGGGTTTTGAACCACGATTCTCAGATCTTGGCCTCCTGGGTAGTTAGGATTACAGGCATGTGTGCCACTAGTGCCCAGTAAATACCATGTGTAGGAGCTGATAGATCATGGAGAGCGGACATGGTCATTACCTCAAATATGATCAGCACGTAGACCCCCATGAGAATGATGGCTGCAATGGTCACTTGTATTTCTGCACTTGCCCAGTGGAACTGATGAGCCAGCAAGAGAGGAACAAGCCGAGGCTGCTGGAGGGAGGCCCGGATGCTGATGGAGACAGCCTCCCTGCAGAATGAACAAAGACCTTGGGTCCAGGCCAGAGAAACAAATCCCTAGTCAGCAATCCATAACCCTTCCCTCAGTGACCTTTCTAGCTCAAGTCAACCTTGGCCGGAGCCACAGTCCACATGGATTGTAGAGTGATTTGGCCTGACACTTGAGCTGACAGATGGAGAGAAACCTGATCACAGGTGAGTGGCTAGGCTGCAGGACACAGTTTTTCTAGGCCAATCAACGAGGGCTATTCAACTCCACAGGCTCCACCCACCTCACTGTGGGAAGAGCCAAAGACTGCACCTGGGACTTAGCCATTCGCTCCCCTCACACCCCCTTCCCCAACATACCTGACTGCTCACCAAGAACAAAATATCAATGGCAGTTATCTACACACCACAAACAAGAATAAGCAAGTTATACTTTACAAAGTTGTCAATAACTCTCATTGCTTTGTGTCTCTCTACTTGCCCCCTCAAATTCATATGCTAATGTCCTAACCCTCATCATCTCAGAAGGTGACTGCGGTGAGAGGCAGGCCTCCTTACTGGCTTTATATTATAGAGCTTGTAAAGGCTAAAAAAGAAAAGTTCTTAGAGCAAGCCCTAATCCATTAGAGCTGGTGTCCTTATGAGAGATTAGGATCCTGTCTCAGGGGATGATACAGTAAGAAGACGGCCATCTGTAAACCAGGAGAGGCCTAGGGGAAACTGGCCTGATTGAGTGGCTGATCTTGGAGTTTTAATCTCTAGAACTGTAAGGAAATAAATACCACTCTGTCCCGGAGCTTGTGTGCTCAAGGCTACCACTCTAACTCTTGAGCCACAGCACCACTTCCGGTGTTTTTGTGGTTGATTGGAGATGAGAGTCTCCTGGACATTCCTGCCTGGGCTGGCTTCAAACTGTGATCCTCAGATCTCAGCCTCCTGAGTGGCTAGGATTTACAGGCATGAGCCACTGGGGCCCAGATTAAGCCAACTTTTGAATCACCCTCATCTCAGGTGTTTGTTCCACTAACAGAAAACAGAGCACAACAGTGAGTATGTCTTAGACACGCTGGCCCAGGACTGTCTTCATCCAAGAACCCACCGGCTCAGTATCTCAAAGGTCCTGCTCACCACCAAGTGTTCACTTCTTCTTGGATTTAAAAATACTGTCCAATTGTGAGTGACCTGTAAAAGCCAAAATGTAAAAAAAAAAAAAAATCATAGTAAGACTTTTCACTTGAAATGCCATCTGGGATCTGGAGCTACTAGGTTTAGATATTTGCTGAGAATAAGAAAAATAGGAAGAAAAGAACAACGAGGAATTTTCACATAAGATCCTACATCCTTGAATTCAGGAGGTTGGCCAAGTAGTGTTGGGAAAATCTACAATTCAGAGAGCATTAGAAAATAATAATACATAAAAGAACAATGCAATGCTCAGAACATGAAGTTCTTTTGGAATGATTAAAATGCTCTAAAAAATTTTTTAAAAAAGAAAAGCACAGCTATAGACTGACTCTCATGCATGATCTGATCCTAGCTACTCAGAGCCTCTTATTAACCACTAAAACGCTAGAAGTGGAACTGTGGCTCAAGTGGTAGAGCACTAGCCTTGAGCAAAAAAGCTCAGGGGGGATTGGGAAGTGGCTCAGTGGTAGAGCACTTGCCTTGCGTGCATGAGGCCCTGGGTTCAATTCCTTAGCACCACATAAGCAAAAAGAAAAAAGCCGGAAGTGGTACTGTGGCTCAAATGGTAGAGCAACTAGCCTTGAGCTGAAGAGCTGAGGGACAGCACCCAGGTCCAGAGTTCAAGCCCCATGACCAGACCCCCCCCCAAAAAAAAAAGCTCAGGGACAGCACCCAGGCCCTGAATTCAGGCCTGAATTCACGTATACAGGTCCAGAGTTCAGGCCCCATGACCAGACTGCCCCCCCCCAAAAAAGCTCAGGGACAGCACCCAGGCCCTGAATTCAGGCCGGAATTCACGTATACACACATACACATCCTATATATACAGTGTTTGTGTATATATATGTATATACACTATTTGCAGTACATATATGTTATATATATATAGTGTGTCTATATACATATGAATATACATATATATTGGACTATTTCCAGGATCTTCTAGGATATCAAAGCCCAGGGTGTATGGTTCCCTTCATAAAAATGATGCAATATTTGCATATAACCTACATACATCCTCCTGTACACTTTAAATCATCTAAAGATTATTTAGAGTAGGTAAAACAAGCTGGGTGCCAATGGCTCATGCCTGTAATCCTAGCTGCTCAGGAGGCTGAGATCTGAGGATCATGGTTTGAAGCCAGACTGGGCAGGAAAGTATGTGATACCTTTATCACCAAGTAACCATCAAAAAATTGGAAGTAGAAAGGCTGGGAAGGTGGCTCAGTGGTAGAGCGCTTGCCTTGCATGCCCGAGGCCCTGGGTTCAATTCCTTAGCACCACATAAGCAAAAAGAAAAAAGCCGGAAGTGGTGCTGTGGCTCAAGTGGTAGAGCTCTAGCCTTGAGCTGAAGAGCTGAAGGACAGCACCCAGGCCCAGAGTTTAGGCCCCACGACCAGACCCCCCCCTAAAAAAAAAGAAAAAAAAAGTAAATTGGAAGTAGGTCTGTGGATCAAAGTGGTAGAGCACTAGCCTTGAGCAAAAAAAAAAACAAACAAAAAAGCTCAAAAACAGCACCTAGACCCTGAGTTCAAGGCCCATGACCACCAACAAAAACCCCAAACAACAACAACAACTGCTTTCAAGTATCATGTTTCCTTGAATAATAATCCAGCAAAACAGTTTGGAATGCAAATCTCACAACTCCAATAGTACTGAAATGGCAGGCAGTTTATAAATGATTTAGAAGAAGGGGACAGGAGAGAATTTCAATGGCAAATGACAGACAAGCACCAGTGGTTTGACTAGCGATGATGTCATTATTGCCCTCTGCCTTCCTATCAACTCCACTCAACAAGAAACTCCATTCCTACTGAGATGCCGTGAGACGTCACAGCTCCTTTCAATTAAGTGGTTAACGGAACCTGCGCTGGTCTGCGCCGCCTGGAGCCCAGGGTGTCCATCTGGGTCACTGCCACCACCACGTGCTCGTCTCTCCCAGAACGACTGGGTCCCGCGGCCACCAGCGCCCCTGCGAGGTCCACCTGGAGCAGGGCCGAGTCCTTGTGACCGCTGACATTCAGCGCTGGGGGCACGTCAAGGGGAACCCCAAAGGAAGGAGGGAAGTGTCCTGTCCCCCTACCGCCCCACCCTCCTCGGATGGTGTACAAAGAAATGACATATGTAGGCATTTCTTCCAACTCTCGAAGGCACTGGACCACTTCTGAAGCCCATCAGCCCCTTCTACGTAAACCATTGGCCCTGAATGATGTTATCATATTTAGCAACCTCTGGTTGGGGTCTAAATGCTGCCCCCTCCGCTGTCCTGCTGTCTTCTATGCTTTCCCTTCTTTTTTTTTCTTTTTCTTTTGCAGTTACCACATTCCTGGGCTCAAGTTCAAGGCCCACACAGTAAGCAGGATGCCTGCACATGAACCGAACCATGTCCACACCCAGATCTGAAGGTATACCTAGTCCTTATTTATAAGATGAGAAGTCATAAAAAAAAAATGGGCTGGGAAGGTGGCTCAGTGGTAGAGCCCAGGGCCTTGCATGCATGAGGCCCTGGGTTCAATTCCTCAGCACTACATAAGCAAAAAGAAGAAAGCCAGAAGTGGAGCTGTGGCTCAAGTGGTAGAGCTCTAGCCTTGAGCTGAAGAGGTAAGGGACAGCGCCCAGGCCCAGGCCCAGAGTTCAGGCCCCATGACTGGACCCCCCCCCCAAAAAAAACAACAACAAGTAAAATATTTAGGCCAGGTGCAGGTGGCTCACACCTGTAATCCTAAATACTCTGTAGGCTGAGAGCTGAGGATCATGGTTCAAAGCCAGACTGGGCAGGTCTAGCAGACTCATATCCAATTAGCCACCAAAAAGCTGGAAGTGAAACTGTGGCTTAAGCGGTAAAGCACCAGCCTTGAGCAAACAAACAAACAAAAAAAGCCAAGCAAGAGTATAAGGTCTTGAGTTCAAGCCCCAGTACTGGTACATATATACACACAGAAAAGAAGTAAAAATCTTGAAAGTGGTTTAAAAAATCAATGATGTCCAAAGTAGCCTTTTTTCAAAGGCTCTTAATCAGGGAACAACCACTTGTCCCATATCACAGTGACCCTCAATGGACACCCCTACTATAACCCTTCCCTTTGTCTCTACATCTGTGTGTGTGTATGTGTGTGTGTGTGTGTGTGTGTGTGCGTGCACGCGCGCACGTACTGTACAAACATAAGCAGCCATGTTCTTCAGACTCTGTAAAATCCAGGGTGACTCTCAGAGCCTCCCCCATCCTGGGAGATGCTGCGGGGGACAAGAACTCCACCCAGTAGCTGTCCCAGTCATTCTGATCCAGAAGAGAAAAACCATTATAGGCAGACAAATAAATCTCCCAATCATTTATGATGGATAAACATGTTTCTAAGGTCTGTAAGCAGCAGTTCATTTGTTTTAGGATGGTTCACTGGCAATTCCTTTGCTCTCCTTTAAATTCCTAAACACAGTAGATGGTGGTTCTGGGGGGCAGAATAATGGAATAATGCTGTTGCCTGAGTACCTCTGCAGGATTTGCATTGGGTATAGGGGAGGGTCACTGAATGATTCATTCTTTGTATTGTAGTGTTCCTCTACAAGATGTACTGTTAAGAAAAAAATAACATTCTGATACCAATGGACCGAGAAAGGGTGAGTGAGTGCCAGCGTAATATTCCATGTACGAATGTGAAAAGGATCTAGGCCAGAAGAAGTGGTAAAGCATGGAACCAAGAGTCTCTGGATTGCCAGACCTGACCTGGAAATGTCCTACTCTGCTGTCTTCCTCCCTCCATGATGAGCTTCAGTTACAGCCTGCAGAAACAACATTGTGTGGGGTGGGGGTGGGTGGGTGCTAGGAGCCTTCTGGTCAGAGCTGTAAGAGTTCCTAAAACTTGATTTTCCCAGGGTGATTGACCATCTCCATGTACATTTTGGATACAGTAGCTTTCCAGTGGTGACACAGCTAACAGCTGCCAGAACTCTCCTTGGTCTGGATATAAGCTGAATAAAACCTGTGAACAATCAGAAACATTCTGATGAGAGCATTGTGAGAGGAAAGCAGTAGGAATAGAAATCATTTTAATGACTATTAAAATAGAGATGTGATTCTGGGGGTGATTTGTGAAACCACAAATAGCCTTTTCATAGATACAAAAATATTCTGATTCATTCTGCTGTATTTCGGCGATCCTGGGCCTTGATTATTGGTATTTGCTAGCTTTAAGAATTAAGTACCCAGCCACAAAATTAAATTGTCAAAGGTAGATAAATGTGATTTTTCCCATATAAGAGAGCAGATGAATATTGCCTCTGTGACAGTTGTAATGTGTGTTTGAGGAATTTGCAAAGATTCATATATACTATAAGAAAGTAAAGAGCCAAGTGCTGGCGGTTCACGCCTATAATTCTAGCTACTTGGGAAGCTGAGATCTAAGGATCACAGTTCAAAGCCAGCCCAGGCAGAAAAGTCCGTAAGACTCATCTCCAATGAACCACCAGAAAACCAGAAATAGAACTGTGGCTCAAAGTGGTAGAGCAGTAGTCATGAGCAAAATAGGCCAGGTACAGCACCCAGGCCCTGAGTCCAAGCCCCACAACTGACGATGAAAGAAAGAAAGAAAGAACGAAAGAAAGGCAGGAAGGAAAGAAGGAAGAGAGAGAGAGAGAGACAGAGAGATGACATAGTGTAGAACATCAAACAAATTCCCCAAATTCTGTTTTGAATGTGTCCACAAAATGTTTCTCGTCCAAAAGAAGGCTAAGGACCAGACTACACATGTGACTCAAGTCAGCTCATGGAGCCAAGGAGACCTGGCCAACACCGACCATCCCAGACACCCGCAAGAGCCTGCTTTTGGAGTCACACTAGTGTGTGAGAAAGTACAGGGGTATAGAGCAGCAAAAACAGAGAAAACTGAGTGTGTTGTTCAGAGTTGAGGACAGCTGGGCTTTGTTTCCAACACAGGCTACTCCCTGCTGAGTTAAGCCTGTCTGCATTCAGTTTACTCACTACCAGTGTCACACATCATTATGGCGGTTTACATGTGACAACCCCAGATCCAGAGCCACCCCGGGTTTCCCTGCCCACCCCCAGCCAGCCACCAGCACACATCCTCAGTATCTCCTTTAAAGATCCATCCTTGGGTCAGGTAGAGAAGGCCAGATAGTGAGCCCCACATCACAGGTCCCCAGGGCACCCCAAGAGGGGATGCATCAATGCACCCAGAGAGGCCCGGATGCCTTCCCTGAGCAGGGGCATCCCTTGGCGTCCCCAGCACTCACGGAGCACACTGCCACAAAGACAAACAGGCCCGGGGTCTTCAGCAGCTGCACACAGCACCTGCCAGGGAAGAGATGAGTACTGAGCTACGCAAGGCAGCTGTCCTGCCCGACCTCTGGTGCCCTTCTGAGGCCTTGAGTAATCTCTCTCAAAGCACCCTCGCTAGCCAGGAAAGCTACTACCTCGGGCAAAGGGGTTTAGTGGAGGTATGGAGAGGAAAACACTAATCCTGAGGGTTCTGTCTATGCATCTATAGCTATACCAGCACACATACATATATATGTATGCATCTATATCCATATATACAGAGACAGAGAGAAAGAAAGGAGACAGAAGAAGAGAGAGCGACAGAGAGACAGAGATAAGACAGCACAGACATCACCCACGTCCAGCAAAGTCCATTCATCCCTCCCTTGCACGCACATCCTTAGTCTCCCCACATGCTTAGCTCTCACAGCACCGGAGGCTGGGCCTCCTCCAGGCTGCGCCAGGCACAGACTCAACCCTTCCTTCCTCCATAGCTACCAAGATGGCAGCAAGTTTTGACCACATCACATGGACGCCAGGAGTGAGTGGTTCTACCTGCAAACCTAATGGCCACAAGGACCCCGGGCTCACACACAGGAAGAAAGGGAGGACAAGATGTGGGTCATTTTGAGCTGTCACCATTGTCCGCTCAGCTTCACTCGCGCCATACCAATTTTGTAGGGCCACTCAAAATGTCTTTTCAGGCCTAGGGGAGAGATAGATAACCTTGACGGAAAAGTGCAGCCTAGCAAAGTGTAAAATCGTTCATTATTCTCTAACTCTTGGTGGTTTGGAAAATGAAATAGAGGAAAGACTTAGAGCCTCACCCAAAGCTAACAGTAAGCAACAGGCAGGCCTCACCCACTGCCAGCGCTGGCACTCAGGCCCACCTACCTCAGCTTGGAGAGAGGGACTCTGAGCTGAGCGCTGTCCAGCAGCTCTCCTTTCTCCAAGGAGGCAGATGTAGACAAACCAGCCATGCCTTTGCTCAGCAGACATGTTGGCCCCCAGTCAGCTGAGCCATTTTCCCAAGATTCTTCAGGAGCAATGAACTCTGGGTAAGCAGGCATGCACCGTGTCCTTGAAAGCAAGAGTTTTGTGTTTAAAATTCCTGAAAGCACATTTCCAAAACAAGATTTCCCCCATGCCTCGAGCCAGTTCACTTCAGTGGTGAAGTATAAAATGTCATAGAATCAATGCTCATCTTTAAAAGGACCACAGACAGCTAGGTACCAGTGGCTCACACCTGTAATCATAGTTACTCAGAAGGCTGAGATCTAAGGATTATGGTTCAAAGCCAGCCTAGACAAGAAAGTCCGTGAAACTCTTGTCTCCAATTAAGCTGCAAAACAAGCTGGAAGTGGAGCTGTAGTTTAAATGATAGAGAGCTAGCGTTAAGCAACAAAGCTCAGAGACAGCACCCAAGGCCCAGGATCAGCGTGCGCACACACACACACACACACACACACACACACAAAGGACCACAGACAGTGTGACATTGTCACGCTGATGGGAATGGCTCTTTCTTGATGTCATAGGGCACTTGAGTCAAAGAAAAATTTCCTGGGTGTCACTTAAGTTTTCAAGTCTTGAGGAATGATTGGGTCTTGAAGATGTATCAGTCAGGGAAAGCCAAGCTCAGAGAGGCAGATGCACATGTTTTCTCTCCTATGTGGATGCTAGACCTAAAATACACAGGGACATGATAAAGTGTAAGGACTCTAGGGATTCACACACAGTGAGGCCAAAGGAGGTTACTCTTAGGAGAGGAACACAAAGGTGCCATGCGTATGTGCCTCTGATCATATAAAATAATATTTATCAAAGTGAACTCCAGGAAACGGAAACTATCAACTAGATAACAACTGCAACAAAATAAAGTTGGTAAATGTCATGCAGTAAAAAGACCTTCCCCAGCAGGGCACCGCTGACCCATGCTTGTAATCCTAGCTAGTCAAGAGGCTGAGATCCAAGCATCGCAGTGCAAAGCTTGCCCCAAAAAGAAAGTCTGAAAGGAAAAACTCTCACCCCTTCTTTAATGAGGAGTTCCACAGTAAAGGAGTGTTTTCTGTAATGCCAGGGTCTTTAGAGCTGGAGCTAAACTGAGGCAGAGATGAGTGAGACCTGGGAGAGGTGAGAAAAATACCAGCATCACCAACACAAAAATAATGTAGGTATTTTCAACAACGCTCTGTAATAAATTGCACGAGGGAATTTGACCAAAGTTCTTGCTGGAGTATATCAAGCTGGAGTTTAGGAGAGATCATTAGGAAGAGCTCTACTTCCCAACCTATACCAAATCAAAACACAGAGTAGTTTTTTTTTTTCAGGGAAGACTATCAATCTGTATTCTGGGACTCATTTTAACAGGGAGCTTTTGACCCATAAGAGCATTCAAGCTGATGGGTCCATACATCTACATCTACATCTACAAATAGATACATATATACATATATATCATCTGAGATCAGAATATAAACCATTATTTAACCTAATAGCTCCTATTTGAAAGACCAAATAGTAGAAGTCAGGGCCAACATGTTGGGATGAAATGGTCATGAGAAGGACAGAGAGAGGGCTCTGAAGCAAACTGCCACAACTGCCACAACCGAAGCAAAGCAAAGGCTGGCTTTGGGGAGGCTGCCCCCCCCCCCGGGGCACTGGCCTGTCCACTGAAGCAAGGGTTACCATACATGCATCATCCAGGCCAATTTTGGGGGAAGGAGGAGTAACTGCAAGGACTTAACAAAGTGCATCAACAAGGACACATAAAATATAAAAACAACTCATTTTTCAAGACCAGAGGTGAGACTCAAGTGGTGGAGTATCTGTCCAGTTAGTTGCTAACAGTTTATTTTTTATGAGAAGTAATAGAAACCATTTTCATGCTTAACTGTTGGGAATATAACACTTTATACAGTGGTTTACTGCCTTTCTTCCTGTAGATGAACCATGAAACACCTGGAGAAATAACATAAATAGATAAGGAAATTGGGTTTGTTGTTGTTTGTACCAATACTAGGGCTTGAACTTAGGGCCTCTGTGCTGTCCCTTAGCTCTTAAGGTAAAAAAAATATATATCATATATTATCAATAGCGAGATATTGTTCCTGATCTTTTCTCTTTTGAACAAAAGATTCCAGAAATCTTGTTGTCATTTCTCTGACACAAATATCAAGATTATTCTGATTTAACTCATGTCTCAACAAACTCACAAATATTTGTAAAATTCCTATGTGCTTATAAATTGATAAGCTAATGGTCCCTATTATGAATAATTGGGATGTTATAATGGAGAATAACTAAACCAATTGTACATAATTCCATATTAATGTTAACATTTACAAAACTTATCTTCAGACTTTTTGGGTTCTTTTAAGACATGGTCTCACTGTATAGCCTAGGCTAGTATTGAACATGTAATCTACCTGCCTCAGTTAAGTCATTTCTTTCCTTACATGTAAATGATTTTTTTAAAGCAGTACTGGAATTTGAATTCAGAGTTTCACACTTGTTAGGCTGGTGCAATGTCAGTGGGTCATGCCTCCAGCCCCGATTTTCACTGGTTAGTTTTAGGATAGGATCTTGCTAACCAGTACCTGGTTAGGATGCTGATTAAAAAAAAATCATTATCAGGATTTTGTGTGAAATGAAAATGATTAATTTGCCTGGTGGCTCACATCTGTAATCTTACCTGCTCAGGAGGCTGAGATCTAAAGGATCGTGGTTCAAAGCCAGCCTGGGCAAGAAAGTCAGTGAGACTCTTATCTCCAATTATCCACAAGAAAACCAGAAGTGGAGCTATGGTTCAAAGTGGTAGAGTACTAGCCTTCATCAAAAAAGCTCAAAGACAGCATCTAGGTGCTGAGTTCAAGTCCCACAACTGACACAAGAAAAAGAAAATTAAAGAAAGAAAGAAAAGAGAGAGAGAAGAAAGAAAGAAAGAAAG